TCTTCTTATGTTCTTCTTGGGCCAGTTCAGTGGCTGTGGTGATCTTTCAAAGAAGACTATTGTTTGGATTGATCCTCTTTGCTTCTTCTACAAGTTTTCCAACTGACATTACAAAGTGTGCTCAGATGGTCTCATCTTCAGGTTCTTCATAGTCCATGAACTTGTTTATCCCTTTCTTTTCAGTTGGAGACACAAGGTTTGTGACAGGTTCCTGGATTTCAATAGAGGAGATATTTCATCTCAACTCTTTTGACCTGTCAGTCTTTTCATCAATGGAGAGGGTTCCCATTCTCCAGTTTATGACAGGATTGTTTTCTTGAAGCCAGGGGAGACCCAGGATGATGTTTTCTGTTCCACAGTTGATGACATGGAAGAAGGTTTGATGGATGATTCCTTCAACCCTGAAATAAAGGGTGGTCAAAAACAGGATTTTTCCCTTGGAGTTTTGGGTTCCATCTGCATTTTTTGTGAGGATGGGTTCAGCAAGTCATTGGGTAGGGATTTGATGTTTTCATACAAATCCCCAGTTGATACAAGAGATTCCTGCTCAAAGATCAGAATTTGCATAGTACAATCTGGAGTAGAAGATACTAGTACAGGCACAACAGAAAGAGAACTGTCCTTAGTTTTGGGAACTTCTGGCATCAATGCAGAGTTCCCATTTAAAAATCCTTTCCAAGCCCTCTAGCAATGTTTACTAGGGCAATAGATGGACCAGTGACTTTTTCTTCATCATCGCTTTCTTCAACCTCTATGATCTTGCAGATTTTCTTCACCTTTTTCTGGGGAGTTTTCCCTCTTTCAGGACATTCTCAAGAGAGATGTCCTTTGTTTCCACAGCTGAAACATCTTCCTTCTTTGATGTGTCAGTCTCTTTCTTCTTTGGAGAGTCTCACTCCATCCACATCCATAGTGTTTGGATCTTTTTCTTCAGCGAGGTTGTTCTTTGGGTAGAATGTCCTCTTCTCTTTCTTTCCAGGAAGTTCATTTACCTTCCTCCACTTTGCATTGAACTTTTGTGCCTGGGTGTACCACTCAGTAATCTTGGTGGGAGTGGTTTCCATCATGTGAATTCAGTTCACAATGAAGGGTTTGAGTCCTTGTGAGAAGAACTCAATTAATGCAACATCTTCTGTGATGGTCAAGTCTGCAGCAGCAGTTCTGAAATTGGTGATATATTGTTCCACAGATTCCTTTTGTTTCATGGTGTGTAGTTTGGTAATGGCTGCACTGGCAGTGTCAGAGGAGGTGAAAGAACTTTTAAAGTCTTTCATAAAATTGGTGAAGGTGCCAAAGCTCAGGGGGTTCTTTTCCAGAGAAGTCTTCTGGAAGGTAGCTGCCCAAGAATAGGCAACACCTTTCTTCATATATGACAGGGCATAGACAACCTTTTTGGTGTCATTGTCGTAAATTTCTTTCGTTTACTAAGAGATAGGTCTGTATGGAATACAGCCAACTCATAGCATTCTTCTGGTCACCATCAAAATCAGATGGGGCACCAATCTTTAATTCTGTGGCTTTGGTGGTGACAGTGCCAATTGTTGCCTTCAACAATGAACTGGACATCATATTCAGAGGTATAAGTGGGGGTGTAGAGAAAGTGGTGGCAGGTACTGGTGGGATGGGAGTACCAAGTGTCACAAGGGACTGGGTAAAGAGTGCTCTCCTGTTCCTCATCAGATGACAATTCTTCACAAGTGGGTTGCAATGGCACCCAATGTCAATTGTTTTGGGGGTTTGTGGTGGTGCACTAAATAGTGACCAGTTCAGCCAAAGGCTGGTAGACTTGAGCTTTTGTTACACTTGACCAAAGTCAAGATGTAGGGAGAGCTCAAACACAGACTATGGTTTCTACTGAGCAAATGGCTGCAGTAACCTCTGTAAAAAACAGAGGATTTGGGGCAATGCCAGTAAGAGTGGTCTGGGTTAGGGACACTGAGGGCAAGGTTCTGAGAATGCTGCATATGATTGAGCAGCTCAAGTCTGGGTTTCCAGGACTTGAGCCAACAGACTAAATACTGTACAAGAAGTGGACCATGAGGCATCCACATGTAACTAGGTAATTACACCATTGGTTTGAGCAATGGCAACATACATTCTATGCATCTAATGAGAGGATTATGCCTATGGTGGAAACAAGGAGCCACCAGATCAATGAGAAGATGGCTCAAAAAGGAAAGACAGTCCAATGGATTGAACACAAGGCAGATGCAAGGAGAAAAAGGGGTAAACAAAGGTGAAACATAACAGGAGCTATCCAAAGAGGTGGGAGATACTGGTTGAACACCCGGGGAAGATACAGGCTGGGAAGCATGTGAAGGAGAGATGGATGGCAATGGGGTGGCACTGGGTAGAGCCACAGGTGGTGGCATAGGTGACTGAGCAGTGGGGGACAGAGACAGCAAAGACAAGGATGAAGGCAGCAGGTATGACAACAGTGTCACAGGCAGAGGGTTATTCCCTCAACTACAGGTAGTCAAGGGTATGAGGGCAGAGGGGGCACAACGAGACAGCAGCTTGACACCTTTACCAGGCATCAACACACACTATGGCACATTCAAAAAAAGTGGAACTCACCATGGAGGGGTGAGCACACTCAAACAATCACAATGGCAACAGAATGTGGACAGGCATGTGATTAAGCAATTTAGTGTATACACTGATACACGGCAATCACAGAAAGAGAGAGAGAGAGAGAGAAAGAAGAAATGATCATGCATGCAGACAGCACCAGTACATATACCCCAGGGCATACAAACAGCACAACACAATGGGAAGGATCGAGGGATCCGCATGTCCCGATGAGGACGCGATAGGAGACGTGATAGCGTGATGTATTAGCGTGAGTAGTGCGTGAGCGTGAGCGGTGCGTGAGCGTGAGTGACTGGTGTGTGAGTAGTAAGCATACACTTACAATGACCGGTCTTTCCAGCGTGGGAGACCATCCTGATCCACGTCACCCCAGTTCATGTCTTGTCTGGTTCCATGTAATCAGCGGCTGGTAAGTGGTCCAAGAAGGTGAATCTACAATGTGGTTGAACGACCAAGAGGTGCACGCAGCGTCGCAGAAATACTCAGACCTCAGCATGGTAAGGAGTTGTTCATTCCTTCCAGTGCTCTTATAACTTAGCAATGCCCGCTCTGAAAATTGTAATCTCATTAACGGGTCTGCATGGATGAGTCACAAAATTCGAGAGCATAGTGCTTTCGTCGCATGTTCCTCTTCCTAGAGCCTCCACCAATGTTGTTTTATTTTCCTTCGCCATCATTTGACCTCGGGATATCCCTGCGACCGCACAAATCCCTCGACAAAGATCGAATTCTGAGCATCGCCGTCCCTGTCTGCGGTCCTTTTGGATACCCCACTGCTCTCATGCTAGTATTTCTCTCCAGCGTACACCTGATGCTATCATGTACGACAGCAGTACGACCCGATCTGGGTTGTGCACTACACATTGTGTCTCTGAAAGTGACTGGCATCGAGATGTCCTACTGAAGGGCCCCTGACGTTTGAGAGTATTAATCGCCTTTGTCCAGGAGGCCGAGGCCATGGAACAAGTGTGCTATTAATCTTTTACGACGTTTACCTATAAGGCAATCAACATAATTAGTCGCTCACGCATTTCTATATGCCCTACAAGCTTTCACTCCGCAACGTAACCCTACCGCTACCGCAAGGATGCTTCCCGCCCAGCTCCTGGAAATGCGCCAAACAACGTCTGGGAATTTACCTGCAGGGCGAATCTTTAGTCCGGATAAGCACTATCTTGTCCTAGTGTATAGCTCAAGTTTAATCAGCTGACTTGCGAAGCTAGGTCTTGCTGACACTGAAGCACACCGGAGAGGCAGTGGCGATATAGCTCCTTAGAAGACCGGTATCGGGTGCTCAGGCTGCGTCGCGCACCTAGTTTGTGCGCCCTGCCAGTTTCTCTTCCCCTGCCCTAGCACTGCGTCTCTTCATGAAAACACCAGATCTTAACAAGGTTATAACACCCCACGCTGACGAGCCTTTTGAGGGCCGAAGGCTGGTGAGCTCTTGGTCGTTGTCTTGTCGAGGGAGTATGAGCGAGCCTGGACGAAACTGCAGCACAACGCGTCCTTTTCTCAAGAAAAGACAACACTACCACCGTCAGCGTTTCAATGCCGGCTATCCTCCTGTCATATATATTAAACTGATTGGTATTCCATCCGAGGAGGTGCAATTGTAGTTGCAGCACTTACAGTCACTGTGATGAAGACTCATACCGTCGACGAACGCAGCACCCGGGACTCTAGCATTGGGCATCGTACGTTCCTCGGCTGCATCTGCAACCGTTGTCTGATGCTCGCATTGGAATCGGTCCTTCTGATCTGGCACGTGTGTTCGCCGGTGCACCAAGTCCGTGCGATCCCCTCGCCATTGTGAGGTTTCATTTAACCTCACTTCTTTCGGTTCTCGTTTGACCGAAAGACGCACAATCCATTATTGCACAAAGGTTGGAGTGAATACAGCCTTGGACATACGGGGTATGCCGGAGTCGGCCTCAGAGCTTGTTGTTCAGTGCTACTATGCTCAGACTACTTCTTCGCGCTTCTCATATTTTCCCACTTCGTTTTTGTCTGATTTTGATGGCAGTCGTGCACAGGTTGGTGGAGTTCACGACTATACCCGGTATTTCGCTTGCGGTAACTGTTCATGGGCGTGCTCCCCTGACCTCAGATCACGTTTATGTTTGATGAGAGGGGAAAGCGATGAGAAATTACGTTCCTTCAGGGTTTATCGACGCCCATCTGCCCGCCGAAGACAGACCGGACCCCCTGCATATATGTGAAATCCTTCTAGCGCGAAGACTCTAACTCGAAAAGATAGTTTGAACGGTACTGAGCATCCGAGAATTTTGCTCGTGCAGAACCAGTCCCATCGATGTACTTGCCGCAAATCTAATTTCCGCCTTCTCATGGGTGAGACGTCACTCGCCTTCCAGATGTGGCATCCAGCAATACCTGTTCTCGGTGGGAGGCAACGCAGGAGAATGACCACCTCTAACATCTGTATGGTTATGAAGGCAGTGGGTGCCTGTGTTTGCACTGTAGAAAGCCCGGCGATGCATTCAATTAAATGAAGTCCGTATCACCACTGGTGATAGTGTAATGACGCCCCATGCTTCAAGGCCGCAAGGCGAATAGTACAAGCCTCTGGCCGCCGACTCCCATCTAGACACATAGGGGTAAGTATAATGGTGCGTTCTATCCTCACAGGTGTACGCCCGGTGGTCATAGGGGGGTGTGAACTCTGTCTGCACCACCCTTACCCAGAACTAGAATGGTATGTTCATTTCTCTCAATGTGTTTTCCACAAGAGTTTCCGTGCCTTCGTTTATGTCCTGTGATCATAAGTATCTCCATTCATACTGGGGTGGAACCATCAAGGCCACTGAAGCTCAATCTCCACCGTGGCATCGAAGGAATCGGGGCGTATGTCTTCGTTAGGCCAACTCTTCTACAGAAACGTTTAGTTGCCTGTTATAACAACGAACCGCAGTATCCCATTTCGAAGAGGGCTGTCGTCATAGTGGCACCTCTGGCAGTGCCCATTCTTGATCTTGGCCAAAATGGCGAACTTGATCGAGGTTTTGTCAATGGGAGCAGGAAAACAATGGCCAGGTAAATTTGCAAACGTTACTAATGTCCACACTGCATACAGGTTTGGTAACAGCCCAAAGTGAAGGTTTTGTATGATGTTGCGCCCCTCGTTGCGCCTCCCGCCAGTTTCTGTACGGAGAGATATGCAAACGTCCGCGTGTGGCATACCGCGTCTCGCAGCGCCCTGCGACACGGGGCGCAGCTCATGATAGGATGAGGTACATACGCCCCACACGTAGGGCCCCCTTCTTTCCATGGCCACATACAAAAACAGTTCGTACTTCTGTCATCAACAGGTTTCGTTTCATGAAGCATATTCTTGAATATGTCTGTTTTATCTGGTTGCTATAGGATCACTACTCACCTCGGGCATAACCCAACCATTGGGATTGACCGGAAAACTGCATCTATAATCAAGAAAGTTATCGTTGTACCTCCAGAAGTTCCGCCCCCAGGCATCAATGCAAGCCGGTTCAATTCGCCTGGCTGGCCATCTCCACTCTCGAAGTGACTGTGGTTTTTTTGATGATTCACCATAGCATCCTGAGCCCGGAAGATGAATCACTCGCTTGGCATCTTCCCAACTCTGAATATTTCACTCAGGTGCTCCAGGCATGACCCTTCAATAATGATGACCGTGCGCTGACCTCTGCTTCAGGCTGAGCTCAAGCCCCTGGGGATCTTGCCTGGCGAAGGATACTACTTTAATCTAGAGAGGTTGGTCGAGTAAATATGCCGGCCTAACTCCAGGTCGAAATCTAGAAGCTGTGCTCAATATGTATGTGTGATCGCAGGAAGTACTGGCTGTATGGTTTATGTAAATAAGTCGTGAAATTGAAATTCAGACTGGTCACCGGTTCATTTTCTGTACGGTGAGATAACTAAACGACCAAACAAGGTCAGGCCCGTCTTGCTCCCTGAGTTCCCATGGCACGGGTTGCGCACTTGACACCGTGTTCGCGTCTTCCATGATGGGATGTTTTGGAAGCATCTTCCTCGGGCCCATGCGTTCGGTTCTTCGACGAGGTCCACCAGGATTGATCGCCCCTGATCAATGTGGTACACATTACATACAGCCCCACACGTAGTACCCCCCTTTCTCCAATGACCGCATACAAAAACAGCTCGTCCTAGCTCTCAGTCATCAATAGGTTTCACTTGAGACATCTTCAACATGTCCGTTACATCTGGCCTCTATAGGATCACCACTCACCTCTCACCTAACCCAGCCATTGGGGTTGACCCGAGAACTCGATCCGCAGTGAAGCAAGTTATCGTTGTGCCTCCAGAATTTCCGCCCCCAGGTAGCACAGTATGTTGATTCCATTCACCTGTGGTTTGAAGCCAATCCATCGATTATTCTGCAGTGGGAAGTGAGACAGGAAGATGGCCAGTTTTACCTCCTTGCTGTCGACGGTGCCAATGCCCGCCCGGAAGAAGACAAAGTGAACGCGTATTATGGGCAACCAGGTGAGATGTGGAAAATTGTCCACCACCCACTCCGCAGGGGGTATGTGTAAGTTGACTGTTTTCGCTCTCTGAGTGGCTGTCGTTTATTGATGATTCAACAGCGTCCTGAGCCCGGATGAATCGCTCGCTTGGCATCTTCCCAACTCCGAATATTTCACTCAGGTGCTCCAGACATGACCCTTCAATAATGATGACCGTACTCTAACCTGTGCTTCAGGTCGAGCTCAAGCCCCTGGGGATCTTGCCTGGCGAAGGATACTACTTCAATCTGGAGAGGTTGGTCGAGTAAATATGTCGGCCTAAGTCCAGGTCAAAATCTAGCTGTGATCAGTATGTGTATTTGCAGGATGTGCTAGTTGTATGGTTTAGATAAATGAGCTGTGAAATGAGTTGCACTGAATCTGGAACCTCGCACGACAGGAAATGTGGTTTTTAGCTTCGGGGGACCATTCTAATCCGCGTCATTCCAGCTAATGTCTAGAGTGTCCCGCTCGTGGTAGGTAATTGGTAGTTATGGTCAGGAAGCGGCCCGGGAACGTGAAACTTCAAGTCACGAAGTAGTAGAGCGGGCAAGGGCTGCAGCAAACACTCAGAGGTTAGATTTGCTTAGTTTCTGCAGGTTAACGACCTGATTAGTAAGCAACGCTATATGGACGAGTCACAAAAGTTCGAGAGAGCCTCGAGTCCTGATGTGTATATCGTGCAATCTCAGCTTTTGATGCAGAGGCCGTAGCCAGGACACGAACGTTTCGATTTTCTTGCTCAGAGTAGCTATAATTACTGGTTGCCCCTTCCGTCTGGATACCCCCGCTTTCATTGCACGTTGCACTTACGACCCTGCCAGCACCACATTCATCGCGCGTCGATACTCCACTGATTTATTATTCCTCTATCCGCATAAATCCCTCGAGAAAGATCGACTTCTGGGCATCGCCATGCAGGTTTCGGCTTGTTGGCGTGCCGGTATACCCCACCGCTTAAACCATCCTTACCGTAAAGCCGGAGCGTCTAAAATGGCAAAAACGGCGGATTAATGAGGAGCCATAGGCTCTGCCGTTAGGGCATTCGCTCGCTTTGTAAGGTATAGTAGGCCGCAGGCGGCCTTGCTAGACCGTTAACTACGCTAGAATAGTGCGACGTAGGGTACTCCCTCACGCACTTTAATCCAGTTTTTTTTAAAAAAAAACCCACCGCTTCCCGGCATGCTCCTTCTGGTGTACCAAATATTCGGGTCTCTTAACTTACCTGGTGTGCTTTTATGTAGGGCAGTGCGCAGTGATGTGCCTCTGAGGCACGCAACTGTGTCTAGACCTGGACTGCATATTACACATGACCCCACTGAAGCCCTGATGGTGGGGCAGACTTGAATAATCACTGGTCAGGACCTCCATAGAAAGGAGTATGTTAATGCACACCATAATACGAATAAATTGTAACGTAGTACAATATATTGGCGGCGAACTTTCGAGTCCGTGTTAGCGATGGTTTACTTTTAAGGCAATCCCCTAATTCCCACTATCAAAATCAGTGGCAGGCGGAATGGAAGATAGCTGTTGTGACCCACCGGGGCAACGTCTCCCAGCAGTTACCGGACGTTGAATACGTATATGCTCGTACACATGACCCATGTCGCAACCGGGGGTTTGACCAGCTCTCGCGTGCATATAAAGCCCACGGCACAAATCAGGGCCCTTAGCACTGAGCCATCTTTTCTTCCTTGCATACGCACCATGTCTATTCAACCAGGAAAATACAGAATTACCACTAACCTTGACCGTAAACGGGCCATCGGCGTCGATCCCATGACCCGCGACGCGCACAAGCGCGTCATTGTTGTACCTGAGGACTTCCCAATGCAGGCTAGCCTGGTGAGACGACTGCTCGTTGTAGTATGGGATTTCCATTTGGTTGAATTTCCGTCTAGTGGAGAGTAGACAAGACTGAAGAAGAGGGTGTCTATTTCCTGTCCGTCCTGGGAGCCGACGCCATGGATACGGATGCTAAAGTATTTGCGAATTACGGAGTTTACTCGCAAAAGTGGCAGATTCGCCTCAACTCTCATCCCGATGGTCACTTGTAAGTGAATTTAGCTGCTTCAATTCAAACATTTGGAGTTAACCATCACTTTACCATGTACATAGCATCCAGCGTGTCGACAACAACCTGACCTGGTTCCTTCCCAACGCAAATGATTTTACTCAGGAATGGCAGGGATCTTCCCTTCCGTTATCCTCTGACTGACGTTTATTTGCAGGTTGAATTAAAGGAGAGTATGATTGGTATCGGAAACTCGTTCCTCTTCCACTTCGAGCGTATGGTTGGGGACGCATAAGCGTTAAGGGATGGAGGTATTGAAGAGTATTCTGTACACGTCGAGGATGCTCAGTATAACCGGCCCCCAATGTAACATCGCCCTCACTTGTGATTCGATAATTGGATGAGCAGAAGTCGTGTATTGATTACGTCTGGGCCGGCATAGGATTTCTCGTTTCAAGTTAGAAACAACATCCAAGGATTACATATATAACACTTGGAGGTCTGGCGCGCCGCCAAAGTCATCAATAGGTCTGACATGGCTTTCACGTGGTCAACGGCCAAGACAGGTGTCAGTGTGCCTAAGCTAGAGATTTGGATCGAACGTACTCAGGTGAGTATCGTGTGACACGCTAGTTCACCTGAAAGCCTCCATGATGCCGAGAGTAAGCTTGACCATCAAATCCGTCCGCCGCTCTTCAAGACATTCCGCAAATTCCACTGTAGTGAAGTCAACCTCCGACATTGTTTCCCAACGGATTAATGCAACACTGACAGAGAGATAACCACCCAAGAACCGTCGCATACAGATCTGGTATTCACTTACTTCAGGTGCCTTACCCTATTTTTTCGTTTATCACAAATTGCTTCTTGGTTAAGGTCACGCGCAGTTTACTAACTGCTGTAAACCACAAATCCTTCCTGCAGAGATAAGCAAATTGTTCAAGCCGTGATCTGATTCACTCGAAACAATCCTGTCATGAGTGGAAGTTGATTGTGGAAAGCAACAATCAATATTATCTCCATGTCTGAGCTCCAAAACGTAATCAGCTCGCGAGGTCGCTCACGCATTCCCATATGCCCTGCAAATTTTCTTTCCACAGTGTAACTTTGCCGTCACCACAGCTCACCGCGAGGATGTTTCCCGCCAAGCTCCAAGAAACGCGCCAAACAACGTCCGGGAATTTACCTGCAGGATTCGGAGTGGTGGAGGCGGAAGGATCCAGGGCTGTTTTAACCCATGGAGACGTCGGCGAATCTTTAGTCCAGATCAGCACTGTCTTGTCCTGGTATATAGCGCAATTCAATCAGCTGACTTGCGAAGGTAAGTATTGCTGACGCTGGAGCATACCTGAGAGGCGGTGGCGATATAGCTCCTCGGAAGGCCGATATTGGGTGCCCAGGCTACGTCGCGCACCCAGTCTGTGTGCCCTTCTAGTCTCTCTTCCTCTACCCAGGACTGCGTCTCTTCGCGGAAACACCAGATCTTAACAAGGTTATCGCAACCTGCGCTGACGAGCCTTTTGAAGGCCGAAGGTTGATGAGTTCCTGGTTGTTGAGGGAGTATGAGTGAGCCTGGATGAGTTGCTGGGGCCCAAGATACAGCATTGCAGCCTATAGCGTGAGCATTGAATATGTCCGGGACCCATTTGCTGTCATCTGCAAACGAATAGGGTAAATACCGAGTACACATATGCCAGATGCCAGTAGACATACCTTTGAGAGTAAGAACTGATATCTTTCCATCCGAAGACGCACAAGCCAGGATGGCACCAAGTTCGTGGGGAGCCCAGGAGATGGAGTTCACTAAGAGCGGTAAGAAGGGGTGAGTTATTGGCACAAACTAGGTACCTGACGCGGTATGAAGTGCGTGCTCCTCAATCTTGGTCCATTCGCCTGACGTTGTTCCCTGCGCTTGCTCTTTCCAGATGAAAACTTTACCGTCGTAAGAACAAGACGCCAACATATTTCCGAACTTCGGGTGTGCCCACGCAACTTGCCAGACGGGTCCGGTATGGCTAGTATACTGTGATTAAGCGATAGCCCAGGTACCTAACATCAGAGCGTACCCTTTAAGCGTATGACTGGCCGCCTTGCTGGGACTACCGTTTACGATGTCGAATACCTTGACGGTCCGATCGGACGAGCAGGTGGCTAGACGCTTGCCGTAGTAGTCCAGTTGTGCATCATGCTGGATTAGAAGTATTGTGAGCCTTCATACTGAGACCATAGAAGTTGAAAACATACGATCATATCATCGTGGGCCGTCTCCACAGGCACTACACCGCTAGAAGGCGCAGGCTGTCGTCGATATGTAGTGGTTAGTGTGGATTGCCTTGGAAAATAGAGTGGTACATGCCATTTGGTGCAATTACTTAGTAACCTTGCAAGAAAGGTGCGGATTTCGTTGTATGTAGACGTGTCATCGGAACCCGGGACACTTCCGAGGAGTAAAATGCTTATGTCAGCCAAGCCCCTGATCACACAACTTAAGTTCATGAAAACACCGTATAGTGCTAAGATGTGCGTCTCCGTTCGATGCAACTTGTTTTCTCCATGCTTCTACGGTAGAATGACACACTTCCCGAGATATCTGAAAGTTATTGTACTTCCTTAAGGGTGTGTGGCGTTGCCCATTCACTAAGGAGGGGAGTTATTCTGATCTTGTGGGAGAGCTGTATCACGTATGAATACCCAGTGAATCCCAATGGTCCCACACAGGGATAGAACTTAGATTTTACAGTCGTGTACCGGTACACGCTCCACGGGTTCCTCACATCAGGTGCGTTATGTATTCGGTACCCGGGCTGAGATTACTATGACCTACCACGTGTAGTAGAGCGGCAGTTGCAATGTCATATAAACTTTGTGCGAATGACTGATAGACGTGCAGTGTGGATGTCGTGTTTTCTCCTGGTAGATTTCTAGGGAGCGGTTCTTAAGAACTCGGCAACCTTGGACTCCACGACCAAGGCGGTCTGGTAATTTCCCCGATAAGACGACACAGCGCAATCGGCGTGTCATTTGCGCTGTTCAATAAATTTGACTTTGAGGGAGACTCTTAATCCAATGACGGCTATTGACATGAAATGTTGAAATGGCGTACCGTGGCTATCCCCAGCAACCAACCCGATCTGCGGTATCGTAGTGGTCGTCTACCACATCTCTGTCAGATTGAAGTGATAGGTTACCTGGCACATTGACATGTCTGTCAGCTGCAGTGGGGATACTAGAAACAATCGATCGGAGTTGGAGCAACGCAAGGTAACCGTAGTGGTGTTACACAGTCATGAAGGTAGGGAAAATCGCATCATTATTGCCAGAGCCCAGAAACACGAGTTGAGTCGTGGATCTAATGCGAAGGGGCTTGGGTTTTTTCCATCTACTGCTAGTACAACGTTAAATAATCTATGCAGCAGGTTGAAATGCAGAGGGTCAGAACACGGGATACTTGAACCAAAGGGAAGCAGCGCTTGTCAGATACACAGGTGATACAATCATACCAAGGGGTTACGTTTTAGGAATTTACACTTAGAGCCAACAATTAAAGAATGTCCCAAAGTTCTTCAAGAGCACAACAGAACTTGAAGTGAAACGTCAACGAAGAATTGTCGGATTTCTGACGGCGCACGCACCTTCCCGCAAGCGACAGATGCACTGAGGGGGTAGTCGCTAATACCAATTTTGTCGTCCACTATATGATCGGCAAAGTTATCTCGTCCACGAGCCATAGCGCCGACGAATATAGCAATGGAGTGGGTCTCGGGTAATGTTTGTAGATATTTTGATAAACGAACGGTCGGCGCGTCGCCAGATAGCGCTTGAAAATTCACAATTCAGAATTGCAGCCAGATCAAAATCAATGACACCTACTCAGTTTAATCGTGTTTACAGGGAGGTGGTCGGTCACGGGGTTCTTAAATTTTCTAGTTAGGTACTGCGAGTTGTAAAGGAAATTAATATACTTTGATCACTTTAAGCAGTTTCTCCGGACCGTTGACGCCACGGATGGAGAGCTTGTGAAGAAGTTGAACTATGACAGCAATAAGATAATGTATCAAAACGAGTGCACTACACGTACCCATCAAGCCACTGAAGCGCTTGAACGTCCGAGGTATTCTCACATGAGGGTTAACCTCGATGAGGACACCTTTTGCAGTGTGAATGTACACCTGCAGCCGGCCTGCCTTGTTAAGGGGCGAGTCCAGAAGAGTCAGAAGACACTATAAACGATGAATCAACTCTTTGCCCGCGTCAAGCATGAATGCTAAGACGGACCTGATGGGTAATGTCTGGACGAGCATCCGCAATGTCCCTCCCGGTCTTGGCAAGGATTCCCTGGTGATCGTCGCAATTGAGGAGAGTGTACTTGACTTCGCCCTCTCTACCACCCTTGCTCCTCCCACCACTGGTAACCCGGTATGCCTCGAGGCATGCCTGATCCAGTATCACAAATAGTCTGCGTTGCGTGGAGGCCGGACCGCCCCTGGGCACGTGCGCTTGTACCGGTAGCATGGAAGGATTTGGGGGTGTTGGCTTTGCAGATGAAGTAGCCATTTTTCGTGCCTTAGAGGATGGGAGTGGGCGAATAGGTCTTTCCGGGCTATGTTCGGGAAGGTCGCGCTGAGGTCTTTCGTCCACTGGGGTGGATTTTGGACGCTGGGGAGGAATGAATGCGGACTCCGGTTCTTCTTCGGATAGCTGCTGTCTAATGCGATCGAGTGCTTGAACTGCTATTGATCCTGAATGACGCCTACGACGAATTAATTCTGGGGTGAGAGACATGCTGCTTAACGAACGAAGGGGGGCGAAGGAGGAGCGGTCAGAGTGAGGGGGGCAAGGATAGCCTGAGAATGGACACGTACGTACCTCAGTTTTACTTTGTATGAAACCGAGACCTCTCCTGGCAAAATATCACCAGGTTCAGAATTCGGGAGCCTTCACGTTGGTCGGATTGCGCCAGATGAAAAATTTCCCGCTATCAGATCAGCACAGCCACCCAACTATATCACGCTTATCTACCGTTGTAGAGGCAATCGTGCTCGGATGTGGCGAGTGAGACAACCCAGTGAGAATGGCACCGTGCACAAAATACCCAATCTCAACCGACCCTTCTCAAGATTCTCCCTTCTCGATAGCACTTTTGGACGAACGGCGGAGTAGCCCATTTACCCCGGGGCACGCGGACTAGAATTGAGGTTCCAGAGACCCGGCGACTTATTCTCAACCCAACCGCGAGCGCAACGCTTCGTGCAATTACGTCTCCAAGCCGGGGGGTAGTATCATGAGGAGTCAGCAGGACTGTCATATATGTATAACAGCCGTAAGGAGGACACCTGGTTTATTTAAATTCCAGGTGGGAATCGCTACACAGACAGCTCCAAACTGCTACTTGGATATAATGATATAATGGACAATACATACATAGATGGGGTCTGGAATGCGATTGATCGGACCTTGTGCATTCTCAGACCTCACTGCTCACTATCTGCGGCGATCTCGGAGCTGAAGAAGGGAAGTCTTGCACGCGGGAGTTGCTCTGGGCTCTTTCACTATTCCAGGTCGATTTACAGAATGTCTCTGAGAGCTCTGATTCATCTGATACTGCGTCGTCCACCAGACAAGTGTGAAGTGCAGCTGATCACATTAGATCAAGGGCAATCGGGTGAGGGACACCTTGTAAAGTTCACAAGCTCACTAGCACGCAGTGAAGCGGTCACGGGCACCTGCAAAATTGGTGGTATGGCTAGTATTTAAGGGGAAGGCGTGCCAATGACCTTGCATGGATACCTCTTTGGGAAACATTTCAACTCTAATCTGAACAACGACGAAGCAGGCATCGTTTCTGAACAGCACCAACCTGATGTGGGAGAGAACGCAATGGGATGGAATCAAAGAACAACCAGTTAGTGTAGTGACTATGAGGATTTGACAAGCCAAGTTTACCGCCCGCCACCGGTAGCAACTGTGGGGTTTGCCGATAATAGTCAATGCTGAATATAACTCTTCAAGTTAGAGCAATCGAGATGAAAAACCGGTGTAAGGATGCGCTCTGGATGGTCAGTGATGTCAAGTTAATCACCAAAGTGACACAACATAGCCTGATCCGATAGTGCTTCCAGGGACCTGTTGAAGCGCGAAGTGCATTAGGGACGGATAAACCAGTGACCATGGGCGCAACAATATGACAGGGGGCGACTTCCTGACGTCGAAACTGCAGCTTACGGTGCGATATTTGATCGCAGCATCAGCCTCTAACGTCTAACCATTTCCAAGGGCGCGTATGACGTAACAGGAGAGATCAGAAATCGCGATGTCGAGATAGAAAAGGTGTGGGCAGGCACTGTAATGCTGCGGGATGTATAACCCATGATACACGATGCATGAGCGATCTCTGATTGACCAATGCAATATTACGCAGCACGCCAGGCGTTATGATCATAGTTACCACATACACAATCAAGTCATGACGGATTTCGTTGCGACGGTGCTGATGACAATATTATCGATAACTGTTCTTTCCCGGTCGCTATCGCCAGCGATTTCCATCAACGCCAATTCACCATTGAGTTTGTAATGCTGTGACGAGACGTAAGGCACGACCTATTAAGAGCATATATCGACGCTTGCCTTCTTGACATTCGCCCAGTTGGTAGAGTCTGGGATTGTAGACATAGGGACCAAGCGACCGTCGACAATGTTGTGCATCTTCTGCTGCACATCGCGAGTGTTTGAGGTCGCCGCGTGAACGAGAATCAAGTCTGTGGTTCTGCCTGATACCCCAAACAACTTAATGGCTTCCGATATCTGATTATTACAACATCAGGATGCAGACTAGTGGGAGGTCATCAACAAAACACTCACGTTATTCGTTGGGTTCAAAGCCCAGATAATTTCTGAGTGAATAGTTTTAGTTCTCAATGATCCCTGCGACTCCGATAACAAAGCTTGGTAGATTGCGGTCTCGAGATGCAGTGAACTCGTTATCTAGGAGGCAGGTGGGCGTATGGGATAGGATAGAGGTAAGCGACCAACGAGTTTCGCTTCGATGAATGCGAAGTTGACAGCATCCCGCTCCGCCTCGCCGTCAGCTCCGTCCAGCGACGCGGCTTTGACAATGCGGGATCTTAGCGCCTCTGCGTTCTTGACGTCTTTGAACTTGGCGGTGTACACCACAGTGTTGAACTGAGGGTAATGGTAGGCTTCCATCGACAACTCTGGGTGATCCTCAAAAAAAAAAGTCGAGGAGAAAGCCTCGGAATGTGGCTGAACGAGGCGTCTGGTGCACCCTCGACGGAGACGGATGTATACCGCGAGTCGAACTTACAAATAGCACCTCCCTACGTATATACAAGATGCGTGGGGATACCCTACCTTGGAGGAGACAGGCACGACCGAGCAGCTAGTAAAATCTTTGAAATATTAAAACCTTACAAGTGCAGCTCTGAGTCTGTACCACCAAGTAGTAAATGTATTTCATACGTGTTTGTCTGCCGACGTTACCCCGCCGAGCGTTGATGCGTCCACGTACAGTCGTCCATGGGAAGCAGGTCAATGATGTACGGAAACCGAACAGAATCATTGCAAATTTGTGTGATCACGCCTAGTCCGAGGCAGACGGTCCTTTAGCCATTCCTCAGCGACTCGACATCCATGCCTCGGCAATAAATTCCGGGTTTTTACCGTCCAGGTTGTCGTGTAGATTCGTGCTAAGTAGGTTAACGAACTGGGTAGCACCTCCTAGATGCCAAGTATAAAATAGAGTTGCATGAAACGCTACACTGTCACAAAACCTGTCTACAAAGGTCTGCCTGAGACAGTCGATGGCATTCTGGAGACCTTTTGAAGATTTGACCAGCTGGATTATAGTTTTCGCCGTACGGATGGAAGAGCAGGCGCAAACCCCTCGTGCGATGTTATTTCGTGATCGAAGAATGTGGGGAATGAGGATGAGAATTACTGTTGATGTGACGAAGGGCGTTTGAGCGAGCGACGACATACCGCAAGGTCAAAGGGAAGGGCTATGAAACGTGCATACCGATTCTAAGGATGTTATATAGGGTTTACATGTCGGATTGAGGGTAATAGAGTAAGAGAGTCTAAACCCACCTGGACCTGACCCTGCCTTGGATAGCTGAGGGAAGGCCTTTTCTGCTGAGGCAGCCCACACCGTGTGTCAGCGACGTCGTGCTGGGTATTTGTTCTGCCAAGTTAACGTGGGTAGAGAACAGGATGATCGCACGTATTACCCTTCACATACTTTAGCCATCCTGGTGCCATGCGGATGGCTTTATGGACTTGTTCCACTGGTGACGTGGCCACTTCGAAGCTGCAATCGGAGTGCCATGCCAGTTGGAACTGCGCAGAGGTTTTTTTGGATTAGCCCCGGCGTTACATACTCAGAGTCCCACCACTGTCCTTATTCAATACTTCTTCACCGACACCCAACCTTCATGTCGCAATGAGGGCGCTACTGTCTTTGACTCGACGGAGATCTCCACTCTCGCTCCTTGTCGCTGCGCTCGCTATTCAAGTGACTGCAGCGCCTGTCACAGCAAGCAACGTACTGACACCTGACAATTTCGAAGAAACGATTGCGAGTGGTGTTTGGTGGGTAAAGTCATTCGGTCCTAGCGACCTTCGTGGCTCATGGCCTACAGGTTTATCGAATACTTTTCACCTTACTGCCCTCACTGTCGCCATTTCGCTCCAACATGGACCGAAGTGACTGACCATTTCGAGAAGCAAACTGACCCTGGTGTGCATCTCGCTCAAGTAAACTGTGCACTCAATGGAGGTCGGTAGTTCACCCTCTGTTGCTTACTATTCGTTGAAAAGCAAGGTCAGACCTTTGCTCTGAGAAGGGTGTTACCGGATATCCTCAGATGAACCTATACCACAACGGAGAGTTTGTGGATACGTTCACTAAGAACAGACAATTTGATCTTTTGGTTGACTACCTTGGCCAGCACGCGGTGCCAACAGGGGTTGCTGTCTCCGACTCAACAGTTGAAGAGAAAGTATTCGCCACAGCACCTCCTCCAGAACCCACACCAGTTGTTGACGAACCTTTACGTGTCCAAGCTCCTCGTGTGGACCCAAATCCTGCAGGAGAGGTGGTCAAGTTAACGACAGAAACGTTCGACAGTTTTCTATCTCAAGGGCCTGCATTTGTTAAATTCTTTGCACCTTGGTGCGTGATTTATGTGCGTACGCTGAATGAAACTAATGGGTTCTGAAGGTGTGGCCACTGTAAGAAATTGGCGCCAACATGGTCTCAACTAGCCCGGCATATGCAACACAAGCTGAATGTTGCGGAGGTGAACTGTGACGATCAAAAACCTCTGTGCTCAAGTCAAAGCATCACTGGCTATCCGACTCTGCTCTATTACGCTCACGGTGCAAAAACTGAATACACTGGAAACAGAAAGTATGACCAACTCGTTGCGTTTTCTGAACATGCATCGAATCCGTGAGCCCCCATCGCGCACGTAAATTGGATGGTTTTTCATCATCTGCCAGCACCATGCAAGCCATCGAAGCCTCCCAACTCGAAGAAGTTATTCGAGACAAGCCTGTTATATATCTCCTTCTGCATACCCCTGCCGACAAGAGTATTATGGTGCGTTCCAGGTTAGCGTGATATAATTTCCATTTACTTATAACTACAAGGATCATGTGGCCAAGGAATCCCAGCTTCTGTTCGGCTCGCCACCGGTCTATCTTTCCTCTTCACAGGAGCTCTTCAAAAAGTACAACATCCGGGATGATGCACCCTACGCAATTCTTGCGTTAAAGGATCACGACGCTCGCCAGCCGACATCGACATTTTATCCCTCATTGTCCCATCCAGAGAGAGATGCACTAAGGGAATGGTTTTTCGCGAATCGATTTCCGACATCTTTGGAGCTATCTCGCGATGTGTTTCAGGACGTGATGAACGCTCCACATCAACCTTTGGTGGTTATAGTCTCTACCCCTCCAGGTGCACGGGACTCTGTTACTGAGAAATTGAATGACATCGGGAAGAAGTGGCGCTTGAAAATGAATCAAGGCCAGCACGGGGGTGGAAGGAGGGATGTTGTATTCACTTGGATGGACACAGATCAGTGGGGGAAATGGATGAAGAATATGTATGGGATCAAGGTAGCTGGGGAACCCGAGGTTGTCGTTGCTGATCACCAGGTAAGTTTTTGCGCGTGGCCGCATCTCTCTGTTTGCTCAAGTACTCCACAGCGGTTGCTCTACTACAACAAAGACGGATCTGGGCAACTTATCAAGTTAAATTTCGTCAGCATCTCTTCGGCACTTGAACCTATCTTGCAGGGAAAAGCAAGACCCAAGCATTCACAGAACATTTTCGAACGTGTTGTACAGGTAAGTGAAGGGTCCTGGCGTCACGCTTTTTCATTTTCAATGCTACTTTCTAGGTATTGAACTCGAGTGTTGTCCGACTTGGACAATCGATAGCCACTCACCCCTACGTGACGGTCCTTTTCGTCCTAGGCTTTCTTGCGTCCGCGTTTATGGCGATAACAAAACTGCTTCGCGATGATTTCGAGGATTCTCATCCTGACAAGCGGTATGCGAAATCGGGTCGTATAGATTGATTCTCCGACGCGTGTATCTCGCACCTGAAATGACTCGCTTTCCCTAGTGTGGTGGTTCCTTGGGTTGTCTACATTCATATGCCCCTGGCCGATACTATTGCATGCTTGCTGGGGGTGTCTGGTTTCGGTCCAGCATTGTGATCCACCCATTTGTGCATGAATCTTTACGACGAACATTAGTGGTCCGGCTGGTATGTGCGTACTTGTTGTACAACCTGCCTATTATGACTGCTGGAGGTCAAGCTCAACGTCCATGAAGGCTTACTGCTAATTCGGCGAGCGTTCCAGCTTTGGGTCCTGATATTTCCTATTCGAATCTCTTCGATTTTGGGATGAAACGTGTTGGGGAGAGATTTGTCAAGTCTTCTGTTCGGCAAGCCATGGCTAAGTACAAAGAAGACTGCTAGCAGTATCTTCGTTATCATTTAAGTCAACTTGCACCTTTATTTGACTCAGGTGTTATCGTGCTCGAGGAGTCACAACAGAAAGCTTGTGGATACTCTGCAAAAATGGTCTGCTTCGGAGTACACTGCCACAGCATGACTCCTCTAGTAGTTGGGCAAGACCTGCCCCCCCTTGTCTCCTAGTCCTTGCAACAGAGGGGTGCTTTCCTACGAGTGGAAGCGATCCTCCGACTAATTTTTTTCTGATGATGCATTGGACAATTGATAGAGATTTCGCCAACTGCCACCCCCCACTTGTTGTGAAGAACACGATCGACGCCTCGGGGTCTCATTCGTACCAAACGACTCATGGTAGGGTGCGGGTATACAATTGATTGCACTGTCAGCTAACAACAGTCAGCCGTCACGCAATCCAATCGAGGGGCCTCTCGCTGGTACACTGAGAGCACTTAGGGGGAGACTTTGGTGGCGACTCAGATCATCCAGAGCCTATTGCTATGCCAACTGACATCGCAAAGGCATTTCTCGATGGAAGCCTGATTGCAAGTCCAAAGCGGAGAATATCTTTTTGCGCTTCCTAACGTTTGTCAAGCCCTGAGACATTGTTTGCTCATGGCCACTCCACCTCAGTGGAGTATGACCACAAGTATGTGCATCCGAGTAGTCCTTCATGATTTGTGAGGGAAATCCAACCCTTTTAAGTTTTCGGGGTCCAGTGTGACCAGTGTCGCGCAACACTGCTTGTCGGACCGTTGGAGGGCCTTGGCTTTGCCATCTCGAACCCTCAGGAGACGAGCAAGTTGCAGGGGCCCAGAAAAACGATTATGTGCCTTAAGAAATTATGCTGCACATACCCTCACATTATAATGCTCCCGATCCGAGTTGACCTAAACACAATAGACATCTTCCTTTAGTCTAGGAAGTTTAAAACTACGAAACCAAACCTTCGGCTGCTTTTCGGCGTTCCCCAGTGTAAGGCTATTTCAGGCAGTTGGACAGCTGTAGTCCTGTGCCATAGGGAGTTTCTGGTCTGGTATGACGGTGTCAATAGCAATTCCGTGGGCAACATCCAGCGCACCCACAGAAAGTCAGCATCGTGCCATCTATCAAGCCTCAGGAGTGTTAGCCATTCATATCAGTATGATACAGGTCATTCATCTAATTTACACTAAGTACGTATGCAGGATATCATGCGCTGAATGAGTAAATTAAATCGGACATGCGTCTGTGAAGGTAAATAAATTTTGATAACGTTCAGCCGTCCCACATCGTCTCCTCGTCGGAGCAGCCCAAGATCGACTCAAAGTCAGGTCAAGAAGTCGTTCGACTTAAGAATCGAATTCAAGGGGACTGCGAAACGGGAGACTGTGCCCACGGTGAAACGGAGTCGTCATCACCCATGATTCCACGAATTCTCTGGTAAACTGCATGTGGAAATTGCCTGCAAGAGATGTGGGTGTGAATTGATTCGCATAGACGAAGAGATAAATCATACCTTTCCCGTAACCGGTCTAGCAGTGCAACCGCACGATCGCGGTGTCCATTACCAAGTTCAGCGCGGAACATCGCTTCCCATGTCGATGGCTGGTAAAGGACGTCAGTTCTACAATAACGCAGTGAACTCGACCCACTCGACATACTTCTCTGTACGAAGGCGCAGACGGAGGAACTGAAGAACTGGCCGCCGGATGGTAAGGGACATGGTTATTGGGAGCAGCAACGCCGCTGGGAGGATCAGCTAGGCTCTCAAACACCCTGCGAGCTTCTTCGATGTTGCCTGCAGCTGCGTAGCCCTTGATCAATAGGTTTGCGATGTATGCGGTCATATGTACGCCCGATGCTTGGAGTTTTGCGAGATAAGTAACGGCATGATCCATACGCTTGTTTATAACAAAGACGTTGATGAGTGATTCGTACGTGACAGCGTCGGGGAGGGGGTTGAGCGGATTGCGGCGAGCGGAAGGATGTGATGCGATCGAGTCGAAGATGCTTATGGCTTTGTCCAGGTCTTTTAGAACACAGCCATAAGCATTGATAAGCGCTGCCCAGTGGGTACCCTGAAGGGTGACCTCTGTCGACGACTCAATCTTCTTGAATGTCTCCTCAGCCGCTTTAATGTCAATCGGCTCAATGGTCCCGTATGCGTCGACGAGGAGCTATGGAAGAACGGTTCATAAAAAAAAAGTGGCAAGAGACAGGCGTCCTTGGGGGACTGACCTTGTAAGTATGTGCGGAGGGTTTGATACCCGCCTTAATCATCAAGTCGTAATAATGTAATACACGCTCCCTGTCTGGTTTGGTATGCGTGTACATCTGCATCATGGTGTTGTACGGTGGGATCCGAGGCTTGAAATTAGGCTGGTCGGCCATTTCCTTGAAAAGTCGTTCGGCAGCTTGAGCATCACCAACGCGGGCACACGCTGCAATGACAGCGCCGTACGTGATCGAAGAAGGCCGCAGGGAGGTATTTGTCTTCATTTGCTCAAACAGATCAAGAGCGAAATCAGCCTTGCGTGCCTTGGCGAGCTTAGAGATGATAGTGTTGTAAAGGTAGACGTTCGGTTTCGTCCCGCGCATCTGACATTCGGTGAAGAGAGCCATGGCGTTCGAGGTATCGTCTGTCGTGTCACGCACGCATTCGATGAGCGATCCGTACGCATCCGGCGAAGGCACGCCACCAGCCGCTGAGATGCGGTCGCGGTGCACATACGCGCTCTCCATATCTCCGGCATGCGCATATGCAATAATCATCTGATCTTCGATCTGGAACCATGCTTGAGATTGCCACGGTGGGTTGGCAGAGACGTAAGGTGAGAAGATGACCTGTTGTGCGGTGTCATAGACAGATTGGAGTGCCGGTATGTCGCGTGCACGGCCGAGGCCGTTAATAAGGCGTCCTAGGGCAGCGGGATGAGGATAACGCGGGGACGGTGCCGAAATTGCCTCCTGAAGGCGGGCATACCCATCATAGACTGTGAGCGAACGGTTTGAAGGGAACCACTCATCGATGTAGCGACTGAGTTCGGAGTCAATGATGATCGGCGTACGAGGGGTTGGCGATTCAGTTACTGGAGCAGGGGGAGGTTGCGGACGCTTGAACCGTTGGAAATCAGGCCCGACAGATTCGAAGAATTCGGCTAGCTGGTGGGCATCTAGAGAGTCGTGAAGTGCAGTCATTACAGCCAGTGCTAATTTTCTCGGCACGGCTTGCATGTGAGAACCGATATTGGCTTTGTCGAAGGCTTTGAGAAGTGCGGGGAGAGACTGGTATGCGCATCCCTGGGGTAATTCATTTGCTGAGGGGTTAACGGGGAGTGCAAGAGCACACGAAAGCAGGGTTTCGTAGTCCGACTGTACTAGATTATGCTGAATCTCGATCGGGGATACCATGAAGGCATGCAAATGGTAAGGCGCCATAGCGGCCGTCGGCTTCACTCCTGTTCGTACTATGTACCGCATGACCTGCAGCGTTTCCGAAAGGATAGGGGTCTCCGAGGACGAGGAAACGATTGCTTCGAGGGCGAACGGAACGACCTTGTTAAGCAGTTCTCCAGACATCTTGGCCTCAGGTTTCTCGTCCTTGTTCAAGGTTTCATCAATCACAGATAACTCCTGGGCTACCAGACCCTTCGCAAGCTCCCAGGCCTTCCCGGCCATGCCGAAGCGGACAAGTGGAAGGTACACGGTCGCAAGCAAGGCCATGGACTCGCTGATCTGAAGCAACGGTGGACGGTGATCCTTATTCAAGGAGATGTGATGCACCAGGAATGCCAGGGAAGCGTGGGCGAGATCTTTGTCTTCTGGATGGGTCGCTTGTTTGAGGAAGCGCACGTTGGTATTGAGCACCATGGACCGTATGGTCGGCTTCACTTCTAGGCGATCCTTAGCCGCACAGTCCACCAGAATGCCAAACAACCTGTTGAGATCTTGAATCCGCGATTTATCCGTAGAGACGGCCTGGGAAAGCATTTCGAGCATCACCGTCCATGCCTTCTGGTCTGGCCGCGTAGGCTCGGAAGAAGATTCGTACTGGTTAACGGAGGGATTGGGTTGGAGAAGTAGACGGTTGAACCAAGAGAGAGCAGTAGCAATGTCGGGCTGCGGGGAAGATACAGGAGCCGCGCCGGAGTTGACAGGGCCATTAGAGATTTGATTGCAGAAACCGCTGATGATGGTTGTGAAGGTAGACGAAGCAGGACTCGGTACGAGAACCTTTTCACCTACACAAGAACAGGTGTTAGTGCCCGAAAGCGAAGAGAGTGGGTGGATATCGACCTTGTGTCTTATCAGTGTTCTCGGCATCCATCATGGTTTCCAACAGGCGCAAGGCGCCAGCTGGTTGTCCAGCATGGAAATAAGCCTCCAACATCTTATTCCAAACACGTACTTGCGAACTGGACTCCAAGTTCGCTATCTGGTCCCGAGCGCACAAGTCCTTGAACTCGTTGAACACTTCCGAGGCTCCCGAAAGATCATTAGCATTCACGTAGGTGCTGAGAAGGTAGTAGATGGCCGTCGTGGAGGGATAGAATGGAGTAAATGAGTCTGAACTGTGTGCCGAGGGCTGACGAACCCTTGCCTCGAGATGAGAGTATACACGGAGGGCGGCATCGATGGAAGCATGGTAGGCACATGAACGTAGAAGGGCATGGAACACGTTAACGGGGAAACGGAAAGCCAAGGCTGAACGCTTTTGAGAATTTGCCGCGTCTGACTCCGAGGTCATACAAGCGGCATCGAATATCGACATGGCTGCGCGGAAGTTGTCTTCGGCGAGAAGCGCATCTTTGCCCTTGGCGTCAGCCTCCTCTACGGCTGCCTCGTGAATGGTGTTGGATGTTTGTGCGCCTAATCTCCTCCTGCGAGCGCGTGCGTCGATCGAACGAAGAGATTTTTGGACGTCATGATCGCGGTCCGTGAGTTCTATGATCAATTGGGCGAGTCGAGGGACATTTTTAGTTGCAAACGCTTCTTCGACGCTAGCGGCAAAGGACGACTGAGATGAATCATCTGAGGGAAGTGGGGGCGGTGACTCCGACGGCTGCTGTCGATTTTGTTGCTCATGTTCTGCAGAAGGAGCAAATGTATGTCGCGCACGGAGATGTAGTTGAACGGAATGCAAGATGCCTGTGTTGGTTTCAGGCTGAAGGTCGCGTGGACCGGAAGGAAGGCTGAAGGAATGACGGCGAGCGAGGGGACGTGAATGACGGGATGAGGATTGGGGGGCCTTGACAAATGATACAGATACATCCTCCTTGTCGTCGTCTTTGACGAGATCATTGCCGGCGGTCGTATTGGCCTGCGTGACTGCACGACCGGCGCCCTGTCAGGGGACATGCTTCGTGTAAGGCCTGCAAGCGGAGGGAAAAAAAAAAAAGACGACGCACAGTATACCCCGTGTAGAATTTACTACCAGCATTGAATTTCGCGCCGCCAGGACCTGCGCCCGTTCCGGCACCACCCCAGGATGAGCCTGTGCCGGTAGCCCATGGAACGGTGGATGTTGAGCCTGATGACTGGTACTGGAGGACGTTGCGGAGAGTCCCAGATTGGTTTTGGACGAGGGCAACTGCACGGGACGTGTGCAGGAACAGATGGCTCGTGACTTTCGGCAGCATCGTCGGCGTCGTCGTCGCACTCGACCACGGCGGGGGGCGACTTTTGAATGATTTTTGATTTTTCGCGCGGAATTAAATAACAAAATTAAATCGATCCCTCGGGATATACCGGGCCGCGTTCCTCCTGGCCATGCCGAGCGCAGACGTCAGCATCAGTCATGAGCAGATTAGTGGCATCAAGCCTGGCAGTGAGACGATCTATTGACTTCGGCCGCTTGCCCGTTCTATGGCATCCGAGAACTTCAATGATGGTATGGACACGTGCAGTGGCTCCTTGCTTGCAGGAACGAGCGAATGGGTGATAGAAGCGCCTATGATCTTATCAGAGATGGCGATCTGCCGCTAGCCTTTACCTACTGGAGTCAACATCCCTTGTCGACATGACTGAATCCACTATTGACGACATTCTCAGGGATGTTCCGCGGTAAGTAGTCGAGGTCTCTTGGGTTCCTATTTATGCTTCTCTTCGTTGTTATAGGTTCCGCATATTATGCGTTGGTCGCGTTAGTCCCTGTCATCGTGCGCTCCTTTGTGGGACTTGCTGATGACGATCTACTGCAGTCAGGCGTTGGGAAATCCTCGTTGATAAACCGTGTGTTTGGAATAACGGAGGCAGTAAGTTGCATATCCCTCTATTTTCGCCTTCTTCAAGATGGCTTGTCCGTGACTCAGAAAGTGTCTACGTATACACCTGGAGAAGCCGATATCGACAAAGAATTCGTTTCCGATCAAAATCAATACTTCGTTTTGCATGATTCGAAAGGATTCGAACCGGGCGATAACATCAATTTCGATCTCGTGGCTCGCTTCCTCAAAGAGAGGCGGAGAAAGGAGTTTCTGAAAGACAGGCTCCATGCAATTTGGTGGGTCACCACTTGAAGGTCATCACCATCCTAATCCACCACTCTTTTCCAGGCTTTGCACTGAGACGCCACGAGCAGGTGGCCGAGTATTTGAGGAAGGTGACAAGAAATTTCTGGTTCTCGCTCATCAACTGGAAGGTGCGTTCTTCGCAGCTCGTTTCACATGCGACATCCACTAATGCATCTATACGGTAGTTCCCGTGGTCATTGTTTTTACAAAGTACGATAAGCTAGTTCGGTCGAAGGAAATACAAGCGGGAAATGAGAACCAGGGTATGGACAAAGATACCCTACGTAAAACCAGCGCGGAGAATGCCAGCGACGCCTTTCATACCTGCAAGCACTCCGTCGAAAAAACGATGAATTTGCTCAAGATTCCCACACCTCCGTGTATCAACATTTCCGGTGCGAGCTCTAACATTAAGTGTCGCTCACCGCTCATGTGCTACCTAGTCCGCAAACCTGAGGACTACGGCGAAACCATTGAAGTCCTGGTCAGGACCACTCGTCAAATTGTACAGGAGCGCCTCGAAGGTGATGCATGGGTTACGTGGGCGATTGCCCAGCGGGCCAGTCTGCCAGAGAAAATCAATACGTGCATCGAGTAAGTGCCGAGGTTTGCCTCATGCCACACGACTTCTCATCCCCCATTTCGACACAGTAAGGGGGTCAGTTGTACGTTGAAAAGCCTTTCATACGTTGGCTTCATTCCTGATATAAAGTAGTTTACTACCACGCTCTTTCCGGCAGCATTCCGGGTGTGGGGCGCATGTTGCTGTGGCAATGCCTTGCTAAAGTTCATCACGATATCGTTACTTGTTGGAACTTCAAGGACGAGCATAAGGTAGAGTGGACTTTCCCATGGGAGGGAATCGTTGAATGAGCCTCAGTAGATTCTCGGCAGCACAGAGTTTCAGCAGCTCATATTGCATCTCGTACAAGATCTTGATGCTCCGTCCCAGGCCACCCCGTAAGTGTCAGCACTTCACAGCCATAATATATATGACCCATACTTTCCCAGCGCACCATCTCTCGATGGGATCGGACACCTGGTGAACTTGATCACTGCAACGGGCAGCATTGTCCCTATCGCGCCGCCAGTTGCCATTCTTGGATTGACCTATTTTTTCGTGAAGTGGTTTTCGGACGCCATCATCGATCATGTGTGAGTACTATCTGGAGCTTCGCAGCGTCCGTTTAATGGGCACGTTACCTTGAAAGACCTGACGTCGAGCGTTTGCTCATGGCATACACCATTGACCTCATCTCAGTATTGAGATCACTATTCGATTTTACGTTGAAACCCGATCTGGTCGGGACCACAAACTGGAAGATTTTAATCGAGGCATTCGAGGCCTTTCAATACTCGGAGAGGCGCAAAGCCATCCATGACTCCTGTGTAGAGGCGTACAATGGCAGGCCCCAGATCTTGACCCGGGAAGCTTTCCGCCAGACGGTCAAGAACCTGCTGGATGAATAGTGAACGGTCGATGAGTGTAAGAGACTGAGTTCCACATGTACTCTAGGTTGGAATGTACTTGAGGGATCGTTTTCGCTCCATGTAAACAATCGAGCTCCGGATGAGAGAGAACGTGCGAAAAGTCCTCCGTAGCACCATAATCTACTGTCCTTTAAACGGAGGAGTATACCTAGGCGCCGGTCCAACGTTCAAATTGACATTCTACGTAAAAACCTCAGCGAGTCGTGTGTCTAGAATGCCATACTCTCTTCTGTGGAATACTCTCTGAGGCAATCTTAGAGTACTGGGTCTCACAGCTGACTCACACGCGTTCCTGGAGGCGCTTCCCAATGGGGCCCAGCACCTATTCAATTTTCATCCGGACTCCGGAGTACCCCATTGAACTCCTGAGCTTGGTGTAGCGCACGGAGCCTCCAGGAGAAGTCTCATAACCATAACCTGAATACATCAGCCTCCTCACGAGTTTCTGCCCAGATGAGGATCTCGGGCCACCCACCACCTTGGACGCATCAAAATAAAATTACCCCGCACATACACGCTTGGGGCGTAGTCCAACCGTCGGCACCGTCCTGATCCACTGAGCCTAGGAGTGACCGCCCTGACTTGAACAGGCACGTCCTGTGGGGCCCTCGTCTTTTAGTTCACAGCGCAACAGTAGCGCTACCGGCCTGTACGCAAGTGTTCGTATTGGTGGGCTAACTAGATAAACTGTTCCGTATGGTTGTGCACCGAGAGACTCAAGAGGTGACAAGGAACGTGAGAATGTGTGACGGAGACATCATTGTTTAGAGGGAGCCCTGGCCCGAGGGTAATGTGACGATCTTGTGTTGTCTTTTGTCGCTGGAAGGGATGAACGGGCCGATATCCCTGGATGCATCCTGGTCTAGGTCTGAATGTTGTTTTGTTCCTCAAATTTGTGCCAACGAAAATAGCTGGGTTGTCTCTTTTTAGAGATAATCCTGTTGTGGGGGGGAGGGGGCTGACTTCATCAGCAAAGTAACAAGTAGTCTGCCTGTCTGATCCATCTGATTTAGTCTGACAAACTTTAATTCAATTCATTTGAACTCTTGGCACACCATTCAGTTGTCTAGTGTCAGACATCTGGATTGTCTGGATTCATCAGTGAACCAGTAGCCAATGAAACCAGAAAAAACCATTTTGTTGCCAAGCAACCAGCTTTGACTGGATTCTACCAGCCAGAAACCATGTATAGCTCCATTAGGGAGATATTGGCCTCAGCATAATCTTGTGTTAGCCAATGTCTCTGAAAAGGGTTTATCTATTATGGCACACACTGTAGAATATATACTATGGGACTATTAGCTGAGTGTAAAGACAGGATGTAGAAAGTGCTCACCTCAGTTGGGTTAAGTAGCCAACTGAGGTGTGAGTATGCTACTTGAGTATGAAAATGAATGTGATTATGTAATATGGCCAAATGCGCACCATAATACTAAGTGGGATGCAGATGAAAGTATAATATGAAAGACAGAATATACAACACACACTTATCATACTATGATGCAGTTGATGAGTCCAATAAAGTCCTCAGGTCTTATCAATAACAGTCTGGTATTGATTGTACATAGGATAGCATCATAGATGGAAACACTTGTGAAGAAGAGAACAGAGGATCTACTATCACTGGTAGCTCAGGATGGCATGAAAGGTCTCTTTGTCTGCAAAACTATTGATGTAGAACTCATGCCCCACATCCAGACAGTTGTCACATATCATCCCCCTAGGGGCCTTGACACCAAACTTTGGGATGATCTGAATGACCTGACATATGCTGTCAAGAGGAATGATATCACCAAGTGGCTGGCCATTAGATCAGAAGTGTTGCTGAACAAGGAACATTTCTATTTTCAGGGCAGGAGCAACAACTTGGATGTTGTCAATGATGCAGTAGTGCAGGTTGGAGAAGTTGAAGAACTCAACATAAATCAGGGGGGGAACATGAGGTTGCAGATGGGCTGCAAGATTGCTTGCACCTGAGCCACAAGGTAACCTGCAAAGAAACTCAGTAGAACTCATTATCAACACTGTCATTATGCACATTTGGATTGTGGATCAGCTGAAATAAGTTCACCACTTTCATGGCTAACCAACATAGTATTTGCATGTCCAAATGGCAGCCTTTCACTTGGAGGCACTGCCTGGACCATTTGAGTGGGTGTAACAGCTTGCACATCTTGAGTGGACTGGCATTGAATTCAGAACTGTTGATGCACATTAATTATATTTCTTACACTGGTAATATCTTACATAAGCACAGTCATTTCAGCATATTGTTTTTCCTTTGTGCACCTCAGTCTTCTCCCAATAGAAGCCTGAGGTGAGGTTCCTTCATTATGAGTTACAGCTATCTTACTGAAGCCATTTGGTATCTTCTCTCATTAGGTTAGTTGTACCTCAGTCTTCTCCCAATAGAAGCCTGAGTATCTTCTCTCATTAGTCTGTCACTACTCGGATACACCACTTCAGAAGGAACTTCTCCCAGACATTCACAGCCTGAAAGGCAGGGAGCAGTCAGAGGTAGAGAAGCAATGACTGCTGTGAGTGATATAAGTTTGACTGGAAATGAAATCTATGAGAGCAGGAATGAGGTTGTTGAGTTGAAGATAGATCATGGCATCATGAAGTAGCAGGTTAGGATGGTGAGGACAAATGGTAAGGAGAAGTGCTGTGGCATTTGTTGCAGATACACATGAACAGGGGTTATCGAATATGGACTTCTGTGAGTGGACAGAGCCAACATGATATTTGCTGGGTAACATACCAGAAACCCAACTAGCCTCTGGGAAGTGAATTGCCATAAGTCTGGCTTCATCCATCATTGCAAAGAAAAGTGGTGATGCTGAAGATTTCAGAGCAGTAAAGAGCAGAAAAAGCATTGTTTTTCTTGTCAATCAGGGAAATGGCAACATTGGGCATGGTAATCTCAGCGATTTGATAAATGGTAGGGTGCCTTGACATGAGTTATGTGGCAATGTTCAGTGATGTCACTGCTCCATTGATAAGGGGCACCCATCTGATGAATGCTCTGTGCAACATGCTGAGTTAGTTCAACTTTTGGTATCTGAAAGTGGTCAAGGGGGCCATTCTTCCTTTCTTCCTGAGATGGCCATGTGCCCTGAGAATGCTGGATTTGTAATGGTGGAATTCACAAAGGGCTTTGCTGAGACTATGAATGGTTTCATCATAATGGGAGATACCTTGGGCAAGAAAGATAAACTTGGTGGTGGTGTGCAAGGCACAGAGCACATCATTGGGCAATGGCCCTGCTGCCACAGTGGGAAGCAATTTCTCCAGTTGGCAGTGTTCTCAACTGGTGCACTGTTTGAGAGTGGAGACACCATTTGCCCAATGCCTAGTCCCTATCCTTGGCTGCAGGGCAGCTAAGTGGTGATTGAGTTCCTCACCCCCTTTGATATTGATTACCCAGCATACACAATGGTCAAAATAGAACTTGTGCCACTGGTGCAGGGCATTGGGGGTGAGAAAGTGGGAGGGACATGTATCCCCCCAGTCTTTCCAGAATGGCTCCATGACACCATTTATATGGAGGGCAAGACAAGCCTTGTGGAATGCAACAATATTGCATGGATCACATGTGGTGGCAGCCTGTTGTATCTTCTGAAGCATGTACTCATGATCATGGGGGGGCTGGGCTGTCACATCTCTGAACTGTTCTGCTTCTGCTAGTGAAATGGGGGAATTCTTTGCTGAGACACAAGTGATCAGAAGCTGTTCAGGATAGTCAGCAATCCAGGCAATGAGAGGGGTATGCATGACTTGACAATTTCCTAACAGATCGGATGTTTCTTTGCTGTCATGATTGGCAATGATCAGATTCCACATGATGAGGGATATGGAAAAGTGATAGATCATGCAGATAGCACAGCCTGAATGGCTGGTGGTACATTGCAGAATTTTGGGATGGGCAGATAGGCAGCCAGTGCAAATGCATGAGAAGTAGCTTTCATATGTACTCCAGCATGTATGTTCACAAGCAAAAGTAATAGAGGGTGCATTTCTTTATTCCCCATTCCTATCATCAGAGGTGTTTTATCCAATGCACCAATCACCCCCAGGAAGGAATGACTGTGGGGGAGTTGGTCCTATCACACACATCAGTCAGCCACTCTCACTAATCAATAGAGGTCACTGGTGACTAACCTGTATGTGCCATGCATCATCAGCACTCATAAATTCCCCATATACTCATTCTTGGCCTTCAGCTGTAACTTCAAACTCCTTGTATGTGTCATAGTCATGTCTCAACCCTGGCCAGACTTGGCCTCGTATTCATTCAGTCCAGCCTTGGCCTTGCCAATCCCATATCTCCAGTTAGTCTAGCATGGTGAACACTGCTTTGCAGTGCATGTCACTTTGGTTAAGCCCTCCCTGGTCTTGTCCCTGGTCTGCCCTGTCCTGGTCTCCATCATCTTTGTCATACATTACTAATACTTGTCTTACCAATCATCTTAGCAATCTTTGTGAGACTGGCATTACCAATCTCCATACTATAGCTACTTCTAGTATATAAAGTCTTAGATACTCAGCCTGTACTCCCTCAGTCTGAAATCAACAAAGTTACTCTGATAACCTCACCTCAGACTCAGACTTGGACTGAGACCCATGCAAGGGAATAGCACTGTAACCTCAGTCACTAAGTCCAATCAGTCCACCCCTCTGTACCTCTGCTACACCTCTGACCCTGACCCCCCCCTCAGCCTCATGCCTGCTTTGGTCTCTGGTCCAGACTCAACCTGGACATCATGAACTTGACAGTATGGAGAGATATCCATACACTGCACAAATACAGGGTTACTGAACAGGTGCTCCACAACCTTGAGTCCATCATGCCAGTACAACATTATCAGTGACTGTGTAGGGTAGTTCTTGACCTTGATTTCTTGATATCACCAGCAGGGTACATTGGGCAGTGACTCAATGCAGCAACAGAGATCTTTAGCACTCGTGAAAGAGACAGGGAAGGCTGAGTTCTACCAAAAGATCTCATAAGTATGATGACTATCAAAAGGGGTTGTATACTCATGTGCTCAAGATGCAAGTATGTGTCAATGTCTTTCTGAGATAATGCACCTCTTGAGAGCCAATCCACAAGCTCCCATTTGCTTTTTGATGCAAAAGGGAAATAGATATTTTCAGAGTTGTGGATAGGAGCATATTCATCCATCTCCATATGATGAAGAAGGTTCATGCCATCTGCACAGCTTGCAGGTGGATTTGGGTGATAGACCCTCTAGTGATGGTTGATTGTAGAGACTTGATGTGGTGAAGAGACAAAACTGGAGCAGTTAGTGGGGATATTACCATTCTCTATGAAAAACACAGTCTGCATGTTGCCTTCATTATCCTCGAAAGGGTTGGGAATATTTGTATTATCAGTCTCCACAAAAAATGTGGTCTGCATGTTGCCTTCCTCATCCTTGAATGGGTCAGGTATATTGAAAGTGTCATAGTCATTGCCTTGTGGTTGATCTGTGTGCAACAAGGAGGAGCTTCTCTAACACCCTGGGTTCATACACATAGGGTTCATACACATACCATCCTGTGCTGCATCCTCACCTTCACTGTAGTCATGGCCTTGTAGTGGATCTGTGTCATCAAGGTTCAGAAGAGCTTCTACTGCCCAGCATCCACATTGGCAGTCACTAGAGAGATGTAGAATTACATCATTGGCATCAGGAAATTCACAGCTGCAGCATGGGCAAAAAAGTTGAGGGTCTACAGGGCAGTCATAGGATAATACAATTGGGGGTGGTGCAAGTCCTGCCATGGTCATAGAAGGCATGGTGGTCAATGGCATCACTCAGCTGCTGAGAATGCCCTGCACATTAGGGTTAGGGTCAGTTTAGCTCCATTCTCTGCCTCCCTCCCTTTGATTTCAGCTTAGTTTCAGCTGCTCTTGCCCCTCTCATTTCCAATGTTGTCACCCACAGAATATCTCAGTTCAATTGAAGTACCTTCTTCTTCTGTTGTCCTTCCAACTACATTGCCTTCATCTATGAACTCACACACTTGTCCATTCCAAAGGAAGGTGCAACATGACACTATATCCAATGGTTTTCCAAAGAATGATGGTCATGCCTGTCAGAAATGCAGCTTTGCATTTTCTTTGCCTTCAGATGAGCACTCTTGCCCATCTAAGAAGGCAAGGAAAATCTTGACCTCTGTGAGTACTTTGTGCAAATATCCTCACTGGAATCTTCATGCTCACAAACTAGACATCAGCCAAGAGAGATCAAGAGGTTGAAGATCTTCACAACCTTTGTATGCTACAGCTTGCCTGTGCAAGTTGTGAGGCCTTTGCTGCACAAGTCAAATTATGCCTGATGCAGATTCACAAACTCAATGTTATGTGCACAATTACCTATGATGAGTATGAAGAAGCCCTTAAGCTGCTTAGGACTGCAGATCGCCAAGTTGGTGAAGTGTGACAAACCATTAGCAGCAGCAGGACAACCATCACTACCCTGTCATCTCTCAGGCTGTCCCCTGTCCTTGCTATGTTATCTGAGTCATCTTTGGATGGTGTCTCCATCGAGCACAGTGCCTTGGCCTCTCCTGGTCCACCAGATGTGTAGATTTATATTCATCTCAATTTCATTTCACCATTTTCCCTGTACTTATGTACAATGATATGATGTGACTGGCAAGTGACTGGGCAATAAATGATATACAATTTCTAGCATTAGCATGTAGTTTGAGTCATGTGTGACACATGATATGTGATAAATGAAATGCCAGCCATCCTTCTGGAACATTGAGAACCACAGCAATGAAATTCCTAGATCACACTGTCCACAATTGCCCTACGTGTCTGAATATTGATATCCTCTGTAAGGTCCTTTCATCCCCAATGGGATTTGGGGTGGGGCCAGATAACATCTGTGAGTTCCCCATTTTCCTTAAAGAGGTCAATTGATATCAAGGGGCCCAACCATAAAAGTCTTGCAAACCTGTGCTTTTCCCCAAGTCATCCTGGTTCTCATCATTGGAATTGGTATGGCTATGTGTACATGCTTTCTTTTCCTTCTATATCCTGCTGGCTGAAAGACAAGGCTTTCCCCAAGGTTCTCAGCATTGAGGATGATGTGCTTCTCAAACTAGGCCTTCCTGAGCTCATAGGCATGGATGTCCAACCACCAGTACAAATGAACACACTGGCAGCCCTGTCCCACCCTTCCAATCCAACCCATACAACAGACCACCCCCTGCCTCAGCTCTTGGACCTTTCTCCCAAGCAATCCCCAGCAATGGAATCCCAGGGCCTTCAACATCCTTTGTGGTGGGCCTCCCTACCTTCAAGCCTGAACATGTGTGGTATTTTACTGAATTGCCTGTATCTGGTTACTCCTCCAGACCACCCACTGAGGTCTTGATTGTGCTATCTCAGGATTCATCAACCCTGGTGGATGACAGGCTGCAGGCCACTTCCACAATGATTGTGGTGAGCCCAATTGGTTGTATATATTCATGCCTACAATTCTCATTCATCTGACAGACCAAAGGAAAGGACATTGATGTCCTAGAGAAGCACCAGGGTCACCAAGGTCCAAGAGCTCCATCCCAGGAGCATCTCTGGCTATTCAGTGACTCTTTATATCCTCATGCATATACTTCACATTGTTCATCTTGCAGTGGCTCCCTCACATCAGTCACTCAGTCAGGTCTTATGTCAGTGTATTCTGATGACAGCAGACCACAAGTTTGCTGGAAAGCCAGTGGCCCTTTGAACTGGCATGAGTTCTCTGACAGAGATCAAGATGTACTTGGTCATGCACAGCTACTGATGATATATAAGATGGTTGTCAAGATCAGCTGGCCTGTAATGTCTCCAGGTGAGACTGCTTGGAGGCAATGGAAATCAACAATATGTGAAATCCTTTTGCAAGTGTCAGCGATCATACCAGGAGGTACAGTATATCTCATCTTGCATCTTACAGTACTTAATCCCCCCCTGCAGAAGTGATCTTGCCCACAACAGGGATAGAATGCTTGGTAAGGATCATTGATGTGAATGTGCTTGAGCTATACTAATTTAATATACTGCCAGCTGATGAAATCACTAACATTTTTTCATGCAGAATTGGCCAGAAAGGCCAGTCCTTATGCCAAGATGTTTTTCATGAATGATGATACAAGACTCTTCACAGACAAGGTCATTATTCAGTGGAAAAACAACATATGTGTGTGTATCACTGATGGAAGTGCTTTTACCTCTTTTTTCATGCATGAGCATGACACAGATGTAAGTCATACTTATGCTACATACCATTTGGACATTTACAATTATTTCTCAGGGGAAAATTGTCTGTTGATACAGAAACCAACACCTCAAAGACTTCCATGTTAACTTCTGGTATACTGCTGAGCTGAATCCCATGAAGGTCAGAGCCACCAAGGATATACACACAATGGCATTGTGGATGTGTGCCCTAACCACTGTAGTGGTAAGTACATTTACTAATAACTTTTCAAAAGCTCACAGCCATTAGTTGTTCTATGCTATCAAATGTGAATCTGAGCATGTCAGAGAAATGTTGCCACATGTTGCATTCATGGGCACTGAGTATTCACCCATATATGAAGTGTACTACTGCTCTCTTCTCAAAGCAACTCAGAACCCACTATCAGCATGGCAGTTAATCACCATCTGCTGTGGCTTCATCAATGCAGATTTTGAGTACTCTATGTATATTTCTATGAGCTAATTGACACACTGGACTAGGGAGAAAATGAAACCTGCAAACATCTTACATTCCCCAAAAAAACAACCAAATATGGTTTATATCCCCCCCATGCATGAGATTGCAGCTTATGAAAGCCACCTTGCAAGTACATTGCATACCATCATCCCCCCCATGACAGCCATACCCATTGTTCATTGAACTACATTGCATGAGGAGAGTGTGTCACAGCCCAGACCCAGCTCTTCTGCAAGCTGGTCCATGGGTGTTGAAGGATATGAACCATTTTCTTACAATTATACTTATGAGATGTAGCATCCATTTTGTATCTTTCTGCCTGCCTCCAATTCTTGATTGATTTGTCAGCATCAATCTGAAAAATGAGTAGATGGACAGCACAAGTGATAGTCTTATTATCAAATAAAATACAGAAGATAATGAGATCTGTGGATCTCATTCTGTCATTGCATTGTGGATGACAAATCTTGGTCATAGACTGTTTTCTGGCTTGTCATAAGGTTTCAAAACCATTTTTTTGTTCATGCTTGCAAATTACAGTCACAACCAGTCAGTGACAGGTTTAGACCAACTACTGGTTTAGTGATGTTGTCTGAATTGTTCTGAATTGTCTGCAGCAGACTGTATCAGACAAAGCAGACCAGATGTAACTTTCCTGGTGTTTTGGGGGTGAACTGTGAACACCATGAGCATCTACAGATGCTGTCTACAATCTTCAGAAGCACAGAAGTGATCAGGAAACATGTATATGATCAAGCTGGCACTGCAGATGGCAGCTTTGAAGCCCATATGTACAAGAACATTGATCATGCTAATTCATCTATCCTCCAAGAAGCCCTGAAGACTCAGGAGGCTGTCATCAAAATTGCTCATGAAGACTACAGCCTCTCACTCATATCCTCCTTTCATTCCTTTCTCAACCAACTCCCCCTTGATGTCATGGTCTGTGGGCTCTTCTCTCCAGTGGGTCAAGCAATGCCTGGAAGATCAAGCCTTTCTTTGGACCCTGACAGAAAAGAAGCATGGATGCTTGTGGGAGAAGAAGCTGGTCACCAAGGGAGTACACAACATCAATGAAGAGGAGTATCAGAGGCTGGAGGAGATGTTGAACAGAGGTGTTGCAATTTCTGGGAGAAAATTATACTGGGCCAGGGCAGAGAGTATTTCCAAGCCATCACAGATGTCCCCTTCAATGGATCCCCCCATGACTGGCTTGACTTTTTTGCTCAAGCCTGCAGAGATTTGGAAGGACAGGCCATCTTCTACACTACTAAGACAACCCAACCTCTGCCATCTTGTCCCTTCATTCTGGTATCCATCAATTCCCTCAGCAAATGCAAACTTGGTGGGCTCATACCCCTTGGTTGGGAGCATCCTCTGCACCAATTTGCCTGCTACCAATGTTCATGCCTTGGACATTGGTCATCTAACTGCCCAACTTGTGGTGGTAACTAACAGCAAAATCCACTCTTGGGTAGTCCAAGGCCTTTACCCACCTTTGGAGGACCTCAGGCCTTTGGGGGGGGGTGATATTATGCTGCACTCACATTGTTTCCTTTTTATTCTTTGTACAATACATTTCACACTCATCATGCTTTTGAGTGACAATGTTCTGTTGCCCACAAGCTGCTGCCTATGCAGCCAGACTTGCATTCTGTATGTTTCCTTTTATATCCTTCCCCTGTTTACCCTGCATTGTACTATAGCCAGACTATGTCTGTTTGCCCTTCCTTCCATGATCTGCTGGTGGCCCTGGTCCATGTGGTCATGTGACACATGTACCCCCAGTACCCATTTACACCAGTACATCATATATGCAGTCACCCCTCCCTCATTGCAGGTTCACCCCCAGTCCTCTCTGCTGCACAGACTCAGTCACCCTTACACCCATGTCAGTGTGACTTGATGATGCCTTGATTAGGAACTTGGGTGCACATGTAAATGCTTCTGAATGTTTGGCCTGCAGTACTTTACATACATATATAAACCTGCATGTATTGTACTGCTCCCTCATTTGAAATCTACTTTGCAACCACCCTTAGCTCTGCTCACTGTACCCACGAGGACTTGACAGTACAACTTCAGTTGGCCAAGACTAGTGTCCCATTGCTAGTGAAGTTAAATTATGCATCACTTCTTGCACAGTCACATGCTTGTACTTAACTGTACTTGATTCATGATGTGATACAAGTCATTGGCATAACAGGTACAGCACATAAGCTGAGACCAAGGGAGGTAGATCCAACCCAGACCAGCTCCCCCCTCTGCATGCTCTGAGAAAGGACTGGATATCTTGCACCTTCTGCAGCTCAGGCCAATTGCAGACTGCCTGGACCTTCTCAGCAGACATGGTGAGACTGGAGGGAGAAAGAACATAACCAAGGTACTTGACTGAGTTGGAGTGAAACTTGCACTTCTCCAGCTTGGCATAAAGACCATGCTTTCAAAGGCAGTGGAGTACCTCTTTTACATGTTCATGGTGCAACTCCATGTCCTGTGAATAGATTAGGATGTCATCAAGGTATACCATGATGCAGATATTGAGCATGTCTGCAAGGATGCTATTAATGAATCACTGGAAAGCTGTAGGTGCATTAGTCAGACTGAATGGCATTACCTGCCACTCATAAGAACCATAATGAGTGTGGAAAGCTGTTTTCCATTCATCTCCATCTGCAATGCAGACTAGATGATAGACATAGTGGAGGTTGATCTTGGTTTAGACATTAGTGTGGCTTGGAGAGTCAAGTAGGTAGGAGATGAGCAGCAGTGGATAGTGATCTTTTTTCATGATTTTGTTGAGTCCTTGATAGTCTACACAGAGGTGGACTGCTTGATGAAACCATAGCCAAGATGCTTGTCAATGAAGGTGCAGAGAGCTTCAAGCTCTGGTGGAGACAGAGAGTAGATCATGCCAATGGGTGGAGAAGCTCCTTCCTCAAGGTCAATCTTGAGATCAAATGAGCGGTGTGGTGGAAGTTCAGTAGTCTTGTCTTTACTAAAGATGTCAGCAAACTTGTGATACTCAGGAGGGACCAAGGAGAGGTCAGGAGGTGGAGAAGAAGCAGAGGACACATGAAGCTTCACATCATCAATGGAGAGCTGTAAGCAGAACTGTCTAGAGCCAGGGAGAGCACAGGCTCTGACATACACAGCAACATTGATGAGTGAGACAAGCAGAGTGGAGTGCAGTGAGTCTGTCAGAGTTGCAGTCAGTGCTGCAGATGGAGCAGAGGGTGTTGGATCTGGTGTGGAGGTCACAGTGGAAGGTGATGGAGGTGCCTGGGGTGTCAGCATTCCCTATAATGATGGTTTGAACAATATACTGCCCAATACCCAGTCAATTGACAGATTGAAGTGGGTAAGCCAGTTGTGTCCCAATACCAGCAAACATGAGGAATCTAACAGAGTAACATAAAATGAAATGGAATTGACACCACCAGAAGAAAAGTGGAGGGAAGGATCTACTTCTTGGGAAATGACAGCATTTGTACTACCATCAAACAAGTGGAGTGGAATTGGCAGAGAAACAGAGGAAACAGGAATAGCATATTTTTTGATTATGGATGGGTCTACAAAACAATGAGAAGAGCTAAAATTGATCAATGCAGAAAAGTATCAACAGAATAATCAGGAAGTGTTACAGATGGAAGTAAAGAATTGGGACTAGAGAGAGCAGACACATTGAGTCAGATGTCTGGTTGTGCACAGTTGGGATCAATGCTTCCTCCAGGCTGTGTGAGCTCCCTGGAGGAGTGGACTAATTTTTTGGCTCTGCCTTCTCTGCAGGTGGAGGAGGTGGAGTTCCAGCCATAGCTGCACAGGCTTTGGCCATGCAAGAGGTAGACTTGGGACAGTCCTTAGCAGAGTGGCCAGCCTCACCACAGCAGAGGCAGAGGTTGTTTTTCATCCTTTGCTGGCATTCAGCAGAGGTGAGTTTGCCATCCTTGCCCAGAAGATGGGCAATATTGGACTTGGATGCATTGGACTTGGGTGGATCTTTCTGTTTGCCCTTGCCCTTGGTGTCAGACTTTGGAGTGGAGGCAGAGGATGACAATTTAGCTTTATTGTCAGAGGTGGAAGTCTGTGACTTGTCAGTGGCAGACTTGGTGGTGCAGGAAATTTCTGATTTGCATTCCCAGTAGTGTGCATCAATAGTCTGGGCAAGTTGGTGGAGTTGTGCCAGAGTAGAAGGCTTTCCAATGTGAGTGATCTTGTCTTTGATGTGGTCTGGAAGCCTGCTATAGAAGTGGTGGCAGAGTGCACTGACACCATAGTCCTTGACCTGTGAAGCCCAGTGATTGAACTCCATGACATATTTGGTAATTTGAGAGCCATCCTTCATAGTAAGGTTCTTGAGTTGTTGGATGGCATCCACTATGGCATCATGCAGACCAAAATTAGTTGTAAGTTCATGCAAGAACTCATGATAGTTGTCCATCCAGAGCAGGCAGTCATAGCCTTTGGGGTTTAGCAGATCTGGCTTGAACCAAGCCAGAGCCATTCCCTTCAAGTAGGACTGAGTGAAGGTTACCTATGCTCTGTTGGAGCAGAATGTGCAGGGGCAGTGTGGGGAGAGTGATCTCCCTACACTAGGAGTGTGTGTATAGTGTCAATTGGAGGTCTACTAAGTGTCTATAGGCTCTGTGATAAAAGCAATGCAAATGTGACTGCTCCCAAGGATCTTCTATGCCCTCTGTGCTCCAGGTCACTCAATACTCCACTCTTTTTGGTTGGGTCACATCCCCTGCTGTCATGTGACTGCTGGAGACACTCCCTGGCCATTGTGACAAAGTTACAACACTTGCAACCACTTTCAGGCCACCTGCTCTTGCTCACTTGCACTCTTCAGGCCTGCACTGTCAGTTATGTAAGTGCATTTCTGTCGCTCTCACTGTATTCCTGTTCGCTTCCCTTCAGGACACTTGTGCTTCCTTGCACTTTCCTTATTTTAGCTGTTCTTTTGATTGCTGACACCATATGGGCCCTATGGCCATTATTATGTTGATCTCAGCTAATTTCCATTCTTTCCCATCACTCTTTTGACTTTTGACATTGCTTAGTTCATAGTTACATACTCCCCATGTAGCTACTCATATACCTGTCCTCATTGACAGGAAAAATAACAACTTTGAAGCCCCCAGGATAGAGACAGAGAGAGTGAGCAGAATAATGACATCAACACAATCCCTTCACTTTCCCCTGCCTAGTGCTGAGTCACAGGCATAGTTCCAACAGATTTCTTGGCAGGCTTGAGGCCTGTGCACTCCCTAATCCACTGCTGCACAACTTAGTCACATTCATTCCTATCACCCTCCTACTGCTAGAGCAACTCCCCTTGGGTTGAACTCACCCCTTCAGATCACCTATTGCTAGGCTGGAGCCCACATCCCCATATTAGGTAGCAGATACCTGCTCCCCACAGTGGTCTTGAAAGTTCAACTTGCACTGCATGAGGAACTCATGGAGTTTCTTTGGGTTGGAGCCATCAAAGGTGTCAGGCTTGTGGACTTTGGTTTTTGGAGTGGAGTCCCCAGTGTGTGAACTAGGCCATGCAAGTGCATGGACAGCTCTAGCAAGAGCTACAAGGGGATCCTCTGGCAGCTCAGCCAGGTCTTCAGGGATATCCCCATCACCACTGCCCCTGCCATCAGGATCACCATCAGGATAATCAGGGTTGGGGTCAGGCCCATCATCTTGGTTATGAGGAGACAGAGAATGGAAGGTTGTTGGGTGGAGGTCAGAGTGACTAGCTTGTGAAGCACTTTCACCTTCAGTGTGAGAGCAGTGTCAAGCAGAGAAGGATTGAAACTGTTCAACAATGGAAGGGAGTCAATGTGGATTTGCTAGTGCTGCAGTGAGGTTCTCAGCAACCTCTCTCTGAGATTGAGCTCAAGTTCTCATAATGGTGTAAGTTTTTTGGAAGACCAAAAACAAGATTGTACAAGTGTGAGTACACATATACTGTCAAGTCCAGGCCTACTCTGACCAACTCTGATGCTAGATAAGGTCTGGAGAGAGGTTTGGAAGCAGGTCTGACTCAATGGGACAGAACTCTGACTGGTGGAGTGTTGGCAGGAACAAAGTCTGCTGAGACAAAGGCAGAGTGGAGTGAGGGCATTGTCAAGTTTGTGGTGTCTGGGTTGAGGCTGGACTGGAGACCAAAGAGGGCATGAGGCCAAGGGATTGGGATCAGGAGGAGGGTTGAAGATACAGGGGGATGGACTGATTGGACCTAGCAACTGAGATTACAGCACTATTCCCTTGCATCGGTCTCAGTCCAAGTCCAAGGCTGAGGCAGGATTGTCAGAGTAACTTTGTTGATTTCAGACTGAAGAGTACAGGCCAGGTATCTACAAGTTTATATACCAGAGACAACTATAGTATGGAGACCGGTAATACCAGTCTCACAAAGATTGCTAAGACAATTGGTAAGACAAGTATTAGTAATGTATGACAAAGATGACAGAGACCAGGACAGGGTGGACTGGGGACAAGACTGGGCAGGGCTTAACCAAAATGACATGCACTGCAAAGCAGTGTTCACTGCACTAGACTAACTGGAGATACAGGATTGGTGAGGCCAAGGCTGAGGCCAGACTGAATGAACACAAGGCCGAGTCCAGCCTTGGTCGAGACATGATTTTGACAGTATCCCCCTCTTAGGGGTCAAACCCATGAGACCCCTGTGAGAGTGGTAGGCTGAGTCTGAAAACTGGCTGAGTTCAAAAAATTGATACTTGTAGCCTGCTAAGCCCTTTGCATCTTTCTTTCACATCCTAGTTATCATGTCCAAATCAAGGCCAATCAGTGCAACTGACCACAACAACAAAGGCTGGGTTGTTGTCGACTGGACCCAGGTGCTGGATGATGCCATCAGATATGATACCAACAACAAGGAAGAAATGATGAAGGCCAAGTCAAAGGAGAGGAAAAGATGAAAGGTGGCTGAACAAGCCTGGCATGAAGAGCAGGTGCGACTTGAGGCCAAGAGAGTGGAGAGGGAGAAGGCCAAGGCTGAGAAGGCAGAATGTGAAGCCAAAGAGGAGAGGGCATGCAAGGAGGAGAGGAGGTGCAGGGCTGAGGAGGAAAAGGAGGCTGAGAGAAAATGTAAGGTCGAGGCTGAGAGAGGTGATGAAACTGGGGCCAGTAGTAGTGAGGCCAGTGGGGTGAAAAAGGTGGTCATGGACCCTGGGTAAGTAGTCTCTTCTACTCTGCATGTTTTGTCTGAAGCCCATTTTTAGTTGTACCTGCTGCACCCAGGCAAAGACCATCTGCGAGTTCCTTGTGGATAGTAATAAGAAGTGGGTTGCCTGCATATGGTGCAACCAGTCAAAGGGCAAGTGTTGGTGGCCTGGAGATGGGAAGGGTACCAAGGTTGGTCCCAAGGCCACTACCAAGGTCAACAAGGGGAAGAAGTGAAAAGCTGATGAAGAGTCACCCAAGCCCAGGCCCAGCAAGAAGCAGGTGAAATTGAAGCCAGTCAAGGTGCTGGACATTGACAAGCCTGAGGCCAGTGGGAGCAGGCTGAGGGAGGCTGGCGCAGATAGGTACTCAGGCTTGGAAGACAAGCTCAAGTGACTGATCAAGGCTGCAGGGCTGATTGCAAACAACCTGGCCAGCCTCTTCAAACTTCACAAGACCATGGTCAAAAACTCAGGCTGAATCACCAATGCCCTTGAGTCAATACTCAACAAGTCCTATGGCTTTGGCATGGCAGTCTCCCCCTCAGACTCAGGCTCATCTGAGCTCGACTCTGATGAGTTGTGTGAGGTAGCTGACTGGTTGAAGCACCATGGCAAAGACAAGGAGGAGGTGGCCAAAGGGGAAGATGAGGGTATGGCTGAGTAGTGTTCATAACATAGCACCTTTGTTACTCCTCTCTGTGAATGCAGCATGTCTGGTGTTATACAGTGAAGTAAGAGAAACAAGAGGGGGAAAACAAGGTAAATAAGAGATCAGGAGAAGACTAGATACCAATAGGAAAAACAGAAAAAGAAGTTGAGGACAGTTGAGACCAGTCCTTATTGGTATGGGCCAGGTTTGCTGGGGTAGTGGGAGTGGAACTCTTGCATGAGTTCAGAGGCATTGTCTAGTTCCATGGTGAGTACCCATGTAGTTTCTTCATCAGTCCCCTTGTAGCCAGTCCACCAGACAAGATACTGAAGCCAGCACCAGTGATGCTGGTCTACCTTGGAGTTGAGGATTTCTGCTACCTCAAACTCTAGTTCACTGTCAACTTTGACTGGTGGGGGTGGTGGTTGAGTCTGGTTTGGGATGGTATTAGGGAAGGCCAGCTCGAGTTGGGAAACATGGAAGACCAGGTGTACTGTGTGCATTGAGTCCAGCAGGTGCAGGGTGAACAAGTGGGTACTGGCCTGAGCTATGAGCAGGTATGGCCCAAGGTTCTTCTCTGAGAGTTTCTTGGAAGGCTGGGTTGACCAGAAGTATTTAACTTTGACATACACCTGGTCACCAACCTTAAAGTCTGGTGCTGGCATGTATTTAGCATTGGCTGGTCCTTGATAGCACTGTTGTGCAAGGGTCATCTCCTCACATAGGTACTGGTGCACTGAGTCCAGATTGACTGCATAATCATGAGCCCAAGCAGAGGTAAGGTCACACTCTGGGTATACCAAGATGTTGGGATGGTAGCCCTTATTAGCAAAGAAAGGAGAGACACCAGTAGTGGTGCTAGGGGCATTGTTATAAGCAAACTCAGCCAAAGGTAAGAGGTTGGCCCAGTTGTCCTGTTGATAGTTACAATAGACCCGGAGATACTGTTCCAGTGTCTGGTTGGTCCTTTTGATCTGGCCATCACCCTCAGGGTGGTAGCCCAAGGTGAAGTGTAACTTCATGTCTAGGGCCTTGCTGAGTGACCAGAAGAAGTGTGAGATGAACTCCAAGCCTCAGTCTGAGGTTACATGGGCCAGTACTCCATGCTTTGAAAAGACATGGAGTAAGAAGAGTTTGGTGAGTTCTGGGGCTGTGATGGTGCCATGGGTGGGGATGAAGATGGCCTGCTTGGAGAGCTGGTCAACTACTATGAGGATGGCCATGAAGCCAGATGAGACTGGGAGTTGTTCAATGAAATCCATAGAGATGGAATTCCATGGCTTCTCCAGTACCAGGAGTTGTTTGAGAAGGCCATAAGGCCGATGGTGGGGAACCTTAGCCCAAGTGCAGGCCATGCAAGACTGAATGTAGTCTTTGACAAATGTCCTGAGGCCAGGCCAGGTGTACTCATGCCATATGAGCTCTGGGGTGCAGTTTTGGCCAAAGTGGCTGGACAGAGGGTGGTCATGCTTGAGGTGCAAGACTCTAAGGCAAAGGTTGTTTGAGTCCAGCACATAGATTCTTCCATCAAGCCAGAGGAAACTGGTGTCATCCACTGACCACCAGGGATCAGACATGTCAGACAGGCAGATTTGTGAGACTGGGTCATCCAGCAGTGTGGTCAGGATATCATTGTGTAGTTTCTCTACATCCATTAGCACAACTGCTCATAAGACCAGGTACTTGGGATAGGTTGCACAGAGGGAGACTGCTAGTTGCTCCTGGGTGAAGACTGGTCTCAGGTTCTGCAGGTTCACTTGGGCATAGCTGTTATCCCCCTCTTTGGGATAGACATCCCATTGTCTAGTTAGGGCATCGGGCTTAGCCCTGAGCTTACCAGGTCTGAATCTAATGACCATATTGAACTGAGAGAGGAACTCCAACCAGCAAGCCTGGCAGTGGGTGAGTACTTTGGAGGTAGAGAAGTACTCAAGGTTCTTATGGTCAGTGACAACATTGACTGGTGAGGCCAAACCCTCAAGGTAGTGATGCCAGGTCCAGAATGCTTCAAAGATGGCAAGCAATTCCTTATCATGGGTATCATAGTTCAACTCCAGGGTGGTTAGAGTTTGGGAGTAGAAGGTGACCAGATGTATCTGGCCATTGCCACAGGTGATAGACAGAATGCCAGTGATGGCATAGTCTGATGCATCAGTCTCCATGGTAATGGGGACCCTGGGGATGAATTGAGTTAAGACTGGTGTGGTAGTAAAGGTGGCCTTGAGGTTGTTGAATGACTGGCAGCACTCCTCAGAGAAGGTCCAAGGAGCCCCCTTGTGGGTAAGCCAAGTCAGTGGTACAACAATGTCCAAGTAGTTGAAAATAAAATGGTGATAGAAGTTTGCAAAGCTGAGGAAGGATTGTATGTCCTTGACCTTGTGAGGCTTGGGCCAATCACAGATGGTCTGATTGTGGGACTCCTTATCTCCAGAGTAGATCAGGATGTCATCTAAGTAGATGATTACACAGACATCCAACATGTCTGTGAAGATGGTATTCATGAAGCATTGGAAGGCAGCTGGGGCATTGGTGAGGCCAAAGGACATCACTAACCACTTGTAGGAACTGTACCAAGTCCAGAATGCAGTCTTCCATTCATCACCCAGGGCAATCCAGACAAGATGGTAGGCATGCTGGAGATCAATCTTGGTATGATCTTGGCTCAGCTTGGTGCTGAAACTTGGGGGGTTCTTTTCCAGAGAAGTGTTCTGGAAGGTAGCTGCCCAGGAATGAGCAACACCTTTCTTCATATATGACAAGGCATAGACAACCTTTTTGGTGTCACTGTCATAAATCTCTTCATTTACCAAAAGATAGGTCTGTATGGAGTACAGCCAACTCATGGCATTCTTTTGGTCACCATCCAAATCAGACAGAGCACCAATCTTCAGTTTGGTGGCTTTGGTGGTGATAGTGCCAACCATTGCTTTTGACAATGAACCAGACATTGTGGTCTGTGGTAGAGGCAGGGGTGTAGGAAGAGTGGTGGCAGGTACTGGTGGGATGGGAGTACCAAGCATGGCAAGGGACTGAGTAAAGAGGTTCAAGAGGATACCAGAAGTGAATCCTCTATCCAGTTGTTTGGGTTCATTGGAGGAGGTGTCAGTGACAGTGCTCTCCTGTTCTTCATCAGATGACAATTCTTCATGAGTGGGTCGCAATGGTGCCCAACATTGATTGTTTCAGGGGTTCATGGTGGTGCACTAAACAGTGACCAATTTGGCCAAAGGCTGGCAGACTTGAGCTTTTGTTATGCTCAACCAAAGTCAAGTCATAGGGAGAGCTCAAATGCAGTCTATTGGTTTCTACTGAGCAACAGCTGCAGTAACCTCTGTAAACAACAGAGGATTTGGGCAATGCCAGTAAGAGTGGGCCAGGTTAGGGACACTGAGGGCAAAGTTCTGAGAGAACACTGCATATGATTGAGCAGCTCAAGTCTGGGTTTCCAGGACTTGAGCCAGCAGACTAAATACTATACAAGGAATGGACCATGAGGTGTCCACATGTCTTGAGGTAACTATGCCATTGGTTGAACAATGGCAATACATGTCCTATGCATGTAACAAGCAGGTAATGCTAGTGGTGGAAACAGAGAGCCATCAGATCATCAAGAAGACAGCTTGAAAAGGAAAAGTAGTCCATCAGATCAAAACACAAGGTAAACACAAGGAGTAGAAGGGAAAACAGGGGTGAAACATAACACTCAACTGAGATGACACTTAGTAACAACACTGCAAAGCAGTGCTAACCATGCTAGGCCAACTGGGGGTAGAGTTTGGCCAGGCTGAACAAGTGCAAGGTCGAGTCTGGCCAGGGTCAAGGCATGGCTATGACAGGCCCCAACCTACTCTGTGGGAGACATGGTTTGGCTTGAAACTTCACAGATTTCCCTGTCTGGTCATCCCTCCTGTAAACTCACTGAATGATGGATTGGCCCCTACAGGGTTGTTTCACTCAAGCCAAATGCAGTTGAGCTGAAACTCCCTAAAACTCTAAAAATCCATCTGGTGGTGAATGTCTCTCAGGTTAAGCCATACAAGGGACTGTTAGAGAGACAAACCATGACTCACCCTGGACTGGTGGTGGGCCATGAGGGTGATGAAGAGTTTGAGGTTGAGTATGTTGCCAACTCTTGCCTTAAATGAAACTGGCTTGAGTTCCTAGTCCATTGGAAGGGCTACCATGACAAGGATCACACCTGGGGGCCTGAGTCTGCCTTAAAGTCCACCCCTGCAGCCATACAGGACTTCTACTGATGACACCCCTCTGCCCCTCAGAAACTCCATGGAATGGACTCTTCCCTTTTTGCATTGCTCTTCCACCCCCTCAAAAACTTCACCAACACTGTCCTGACCTTTAATCACCTGGAAGTCGATGTCTAAGGAGGGGATAGTGTTATGATACATACTCTTTTCCTTTTCATCTTATCTAATCTCTTTATCTCATCTTGTCTTGTCAGACTCTGTCCAGACTCTGGTCTAGACCTCACCTCATTGCTACCTCATTCCCATCTTCTAGTATGCTCCACTCCACTATGATATCATTATGACATCACTATGATGTCATGATCCTCATGTATGCCTCCC